CCAAAGGATCTACAAAGAGAATATGATCATGCGGAGAAACGTATATAACAACAAGTAGGAAAATAATGGGCAAAATCCGCAAAAAGGAGGAAAGTGGATTCGAGCAAAAAATAGGATAGGTAACCCGAGCGATACGTATTTCTGCTGGTTGGCTTCATCAGGCCCGAAATGAATGCACATATGGAGCTACAAAAGTAGATACACATGCCCACACATCCGGATACGGGTGTAACCTGAGGAAACGAAGTTGGAGGGGAAAAAAACGACACACGAAGTCCACAACAAGAGCCAACCTACACATTGTAGTATAAAATGGCTATACGACCTCGAATTTTCAAGGAGACGTCTAACCACCACCACGCGGCCGGTTATAGCCACTTGCTGTGGTACTTCAAGCCCAAAGGATCTACAAAGGTTGGCTCTTGATGTGGACTTCGTGTGTCGTTTTTTCCCCTCCAACTTCGTTTCCTCAGGTTACACCCGTACTTGTTGTTATATACGTTTCTCCGCATGATCATATTCTCTTTGTAGATCCTTTGGGCTTGAAGTACCACAGCAAGTGGCTATAACCGGCCGCGTGGTGGTGGTTAGACGTCTCCTTGAAAATTCGAGGTCGTATAGCCATTTTATACTACAATGTGTAGGTTGGCTCTTGTTGTGGACTTCGTGTGTCGTTTTTTTTCCCCTCCAACTTCCTTTCCTCAGGTTACACCCGTATCCGGATGTGTGGGCATGTGTATCTACTTTTGTAGCTCCATATGTGCATTCATTTCGGGCCTTATGAAGCCAACCAGCAGAAATACGTATCGCTCGGGTTACCTATCCTATTTTCTGCTCGAATCCACTTTCCTCCTTTTAGCGGATTTTGCCCATTATTTTCCTACTTGTTGTTATATACGTTTCTCCGCATGATCATATTCTCTTTTATATATATATATATATATATATACAGGGTGGCGCATCGAAAACGAAACAGACGCATTTACTGGCAGCACAGTTTTTTTTTTAAAACGCTCAGACCCGTCGATTTTGTTTTCGAGGGGGACACAAGTTTGACAAAAAAACACGTTAGCACGTGCAGCTCCCTAAGCGAGAGTGACACCACCCCCAAAATCTTAAATGGAAAGGGGGGTCGAGTGATACCTTACCTTAAACGTCTTTCAATTCCCTTTATAATGATATAAAATTAATGTACTTCAGTTCAGTAGTTTTGAAGATTTATTGAATTCAAGCTTAAATAAAACTAATACATCATCATTAGTGGAGATCAATACATTTGGCAGCAAAGTAATTTAAAAATGAAGAATGAACTGACCCGTTTGGCAAGTAAATGTTGAAAATGGCCACCATTACTCTCCATGCAATAATAAAGATTTTGCTCATTCACATTCTTTGTCGCAGGTCATCTAATGATGTTGGCTGAGTAGCATAGATTTTTCTTTTCAAATGACCCCACATAAAGAAATCCAAAGGTGATAAATCTGGCGATCTTGGGGGCCATTCCGGGGCCATTCAATGGCACGGCACCTCTTCTACCAATACATCGATCTGGAAACGCCTGATCTAAATATTGTCGAACACGTAATGCGTAATGTGGTGGGGCACCATCCTGTTGGAACATCAACCTATGTTATTCGCAATGTACCGCCGATCATTCTGATTTTCAATTATGGCTGTTAATGCAGGATCTATGGCGTCTTCCAGTAATTCCAAATACATTTCACCGGTCAAATTTCCAGGTAAGAAAAAAGGACCAACTAAATGATCGCCAAAAATACCAGCCCAAACATTTAATTTTTGTGGCTGCTGTGTATGAACCTCATGATAAATTCTGGGATTAGAATCGGACCAATATCGGCAGTTATGACGATTTACTACGCCATTTAAGAACAAGGAACATTCGTCGGAAAAGCAAGTGCTGAATAGAAAATGTTCATCGTTTATAATTCGTTCACTCATATCTTCACAAAATTGTAATCGCCGATCAAAACCTTCTTCACTTAGTTCTTGTACCAGGTGAATTTTATACGGATGAAAACTATGGGCCTTTAGAATCCGTTGGACAGTACGTCGACTAACACCACACACAGTCTCCAATTTGCGGGTACTTAACGTAGGATCTACATAAACTTGCCCTAAAACCCCTACTTCTATTGCTTCATTCCTTATGGGATTTTCAATGTTGCGTTTTTTATTGGCGACTGACCCAGTTTCCCGAAATTTAGCTACAAGTTCTAGAACATATTTTCGATGCACGTTACTGTTCTCATGTCGCTCATTAAATATTTCTGCTGTTCTATTAGCGCACTGATTATTTCCGAAAAATATTTCGATAATTTCAAACTCTTTCTGTTGTGGTTAATTTATGTAATAAAGCGTTACAAGTTATTTTAGCAACAAAGTTTGGTCAAATCAATCGCAAACTATGTACTAAATTCCTATTTAAAATAAGTACGAGATATTTCCTTATCTTTCTTCAAGAAATAACTTTTTTGCCGCAAAAAAAAACGCTCCAATAGCTATTTTCAACAACAAAATGATAAACAAACCATGGGCGTAGTGAAGAAAAGCATTTACTTATTAAGTAAATTCTTTTAGTCAAATTTCTTCTGAAAGTAGTACAAACCAATCTGATGTACCTATTAAAGTCTACCTTAAGCTTTAAATCAATAAATCTTTAAAACTACTGAACTGAAGTACATTAATTTTATATCATTATAAAGGGAATTGAAAGACCTTTAAAATAAGGTTTCACTCGACCCCCCTTTCCATTTAAGATTTTAGGGTTGGTGTCATTTTTTGCCAAACTTGTGTCCCCCTCGAAAACAAAATCGATGGGCCTGAGCGTTTTTCCAAAAAAAAACTGAGCTGCCAGTAAATGTGTATGCTCAACACCAGGGATGTCCAACATACGGCCCGCGAACTCCTTTCTTGCGGTCCGCTTCACGGGTCATGTATACATCACATGTATAAATTACTCTCAAATACCGAATATGCACAATTCTTACATTAACATTAATAATGTTGAATAGAAAGATTTTATAATGCGGCCCTCCAAACTGCATTTTTTTATGTGGCCCTTGGGCCACCTTAAGTTGGACAGCCCTGCTCTACACAATGCCAACAATATTACCAAGAGGGACACAAATATTGCGCGATTAGATGTTCCATGGGCTAATGGTGATTAAACGTAATATGCGAATATATTTCAACAAAGCCGCCATCCATCTATCATACTAATGAGCATTGTAATTATTACAATTATTGAAAAGCAGCACCAGGAAGCAAAATAAGTCCAAAGTATCATCGAGTTCTTGTAGACACATGTTTGTAGTTTAATTTCTTAGGCCAACGGATAAAATTTGTATTTAGGTTCTAGCGCCATGAAGATGGCCTAATTTGCATTTTTACGACGGTCACCTTTAGAGATAACTTACTGTGAACCGATTCAAAATGAGGGAAATCATAAATTGAACTAATGAAAAAATATTTTTAGTGGTCGATCATTTTCGTATGGATCATAATATGTTGGTCCTATATTTCTGAGACCTCTCACGAGGGGAGTACGAATAAATGCTTATAATGTCACCTAAAACTTTGGTTTAATTTAAAATCCTAGGTATTTTACGTTGTAACCACCAGTTCAAACAACTAAAATGCATTTTCATGCGTAAGTTAGGCTAAGACAAAACGCAAAAAAGAATCTCAAAACAAGATGCTAATAAAATCTGAAAACATTTGAATATATTGGAAAAGAAGGAGATTAGACGATTACCTTAACATCAACAGGATTATATCCCAATTTCGGCACAAAACATGAACATCAAAATGCAAAAACATGCAAATAATATCAAAGACAACAGTCCGATAACATCGCCACAATAGTACGTGGTACTCCCACCTTGCCTCCCTCCTTACCAGAGGCGTCCTCGAGTACCATCAGAGAAAGCGGCCGGCGTTCGGGTGGTTCCAGCCACCACATACCAACCCGCAGGTGGTACCTGGTATAAAAACGCGATCTGCCCAAACCACCTTATCAGTAACGATTTTGTTTTTTCAACTGTTCCTACACCACCCCGGTTTCTCCTCGACATGTTCTTCTTCGGAAATGTGAGTGTCAATATAGTACATGGATTTACTATATTTTGTGTTACACGTGAGGTGTGGTACTTGTGGATGTAAATTTTGTTGGTATTTTACATTGGATCTAAACATCTAAGGTTTGAAAAAATATTCTGAATTCGCAATGACATGTTCTACTCTCCGTGGGTTAGTGAAAGAAGTTTCACGAATCAGAAAACGTCTGCTAACTTCACTACTACCAAGATAACTTTCGGCACTTTTTTGGAATTTTCACGTTTTGTTTCGACTGCTAAAGTTTTGGATTACTCTGAATGTATTTAGATTTAAGCGCGGTCGCATATGTTTCCGAATAGCCTAGAAATACTATTTCCGCTAAATGAATGCAGGCTGCGATTTGTAGAAGCAAAAATTTAATATACATATGCATCCAAGCTTGTCCAACCACGCTTAATTTGGATCAAATTCTTTAAATAAACAGTCATTTTTTACTATCTCTGTAAAATGGATGCAATTTTGGTGAACATACAGGACATACGACCGTAGGACCATATACGTACACTAGTTGTAAAAATTAGTAAATGACATGTTTAATTCAGATGAATATCGATCTACATTTTCTGATAATACGAAATATGTAATATTAAATTGGAAAAGAACACTCACATTTTATGATTTTTGTGGCTCAAGCTTTCAAAAAGATGCTTAATCCATTTCAAGATAAATGAACAAAAAAATGGCTTTTTTATAAGGTTATTATCTCTAATTTCTAAAAACACAAGAATTATTCACTGCATTTTGAAAACTTGTAAAGTCAGCAACAACAACTGACAATAAAAAAAGTTGAAAAAGCGCGAATGTCCATAAGATATATAAGACATAAGACAGTTTCTTGTTGATTTACCAATAATCTTTTATAGATCCTAGCTTTGTCAGTGTTATTTGCTGGATGCATATCTGGCTATATTGAAGAGAGCTATGGGCATCACGGAGGAGAACTACTTCAACATTACGAAGGAGGTCATGAAGAATATCACCAAGAACATCATGAACCCTACGTAAGTTGAATCAAGATTTAGTCTTTAGAGGACTTACACAGAACTTTTACAGACACGCCATCGACTACCAAGTAAAACAAGAAAAGGCGCTGATGCTGGCTTTGACACTCAGGCTAATCGTACGTTTTACTTTTCTTTTTCTCGAGCAAGTTGGTACACACGCAAAAATCAACTTTCCGCTAATTTTACTCATGTCAAGCTATTGACGGAACGTGAGAACGAAAACGGACGATCAAGTACCACACACACACATACATCTTAGATGATGATTTAAAACTATACAATCAACACGTACGATTAACATGAGTGACTATGCCAACCTACAGAAATGCTCAAGAATATTCTGTCAGAATAGAAAGTACCATGACAATCATTGGTCATGTTTGCACCATAGGTAGTCAAGCTCTTAGATACCCACAAAGAACCATAGTTCTGTGTGTAAATACGATTCTATGATTGTTTACACCATATGCTATAGTGGCCATGCGCCAAATAAGTGCTTTTTGCTTAACTACAAGCGGTGTAAACATAGTTATTACTGTTTAGATTCAAGATAATACAGCGTTTGATGATATCGTTAGGATTCGGTTTTGGATTTGACAAGAAATACTGAGTACCGTATGTCCTAGAAATTTTGGCACAAAATATTTTTCGGATTTTTTTTAACTAAACTATACTATCGAATTATGTGGAGTGGCCCATTCTGCTCTACCAGATGTAACTTTCTTCGAACGTCTCACATGAGGTCTTGGACGGAATTCAGATCAATTTCTCTCAGTTTTTCGTAAATTCGCCGTCTCAATTGTTTTTCATCTTGGGCTTCCCAGCCTCCATGATAAACCTTCCTAGACAGTAAAGCCCAAAAATCATCTACTGGGCGAGCCTGCGGCAAGTCTGGAGGGCTATCGTTCTTCAGAACAATAGGTATGTTGTGTTGTCGAAGCCAGTTTTGGGTATCTCTTGATTAACGGCATGATGCTAGGTCTGGCCAAAACATGATATGGTCATTAGCATGATGTTCGTGGACACACTGAAGCAATGTGGAAAGGCAGTTATCAATATAGCTCTGACTATTCAAAGCTTCACCCCTCGTTCTTCATACAAAAGGTTTGCACCTAACAGGGTCAGGACATCCCTCCACGTTGTCCGTATAAAATCTGTCGTTTCCCTTCATTTCAGAATTACTCAAAGTGAAATACTTTTCGTTATCTGAAATAATCATTTATCCATTGGTAAAGTGTACCCGCCTCAGTTGACGATAGCATCTTGGTATACGAAGAAATTGCGCTTGAGAGTATTTGAGGCACTTAAGTCTCTTTGGATATTTAAGACCATGCCTCTTCAATTACAACGATATCGTACTCTTAAAAGATCTGTATTGACGAGAAAGTCTACTTGTTGACATTCCAACTTGATTTATTGCTCTTCTCACCAATCTCTCTGGTGTCTGTGCAGTAAATGCACGTGGTGTTCCACTTTTTGGGAGATCAGACATGGTATCCCCTGCTCGCACTCCACTAATGTTCCATAAATGGTCCTGCGTGAAAAGGTTTCATTCTGGAATATTCGACAGATTTCAGCTTTGGGTAGCCGCCCAAACAACTTGTAGATACTTTTTCTTATTTATACTGTATATGACATCTTAAAGCGAAAACTTCAAAATAAATAAATGACAGTAAAGTAAGTAAACAAAGGCAACTTGATATTATTTTGTGTTTGTTAAAATTAAAGCCAATGAATTTTCTTATGCGCCCGTTTGGTAGCTTTTAACATATCAAAATCCAGTAAATATAGAAAATTACCAACATGGCCTGGTGTTTCAAGGAGTAATTCTTATTTTTATCTTTTCTAGCACTACCCTAAATACAAATTCAACTACAAAGTTAGCGACCCCCACACTGGAGATGAGAAACAACAGTACGAAGAAAGGGAAGGTGATCAAGTGAAGGGACAGTACTCGCTCAAGGAAGCCGATGGTACCACCAGGGTAGTTGAATACAAAGCTGACAAGCACAATGGGTTTGAAGCGGTCAGTATATTCTATACACTACAACATGCTAAAGAAGTAAAACAGTCGACAATATTATTTTTCTAAATAATGTCAGAAACACACCTCACATCAAACCTGATTAAGGGATACATGTCGCCCGATACAAATAGAGGGCATTTATGAGGCCTAATGCAGAGATTTTGTTTAATTTCAGACCTAGCGCTTATTAGATACTTCATATGATCGACTACAAAAACGCTAATGTGTAGAAAAGCGGTTTAGAGAAACGCCTCATAATGCTGCAATAGAGAATTTTACAGACACAATTGCATCTTTTATAACTGAAATAGCTTGTTTACATCAATTTGTGTCAAGAATATCCTATTTATCCTCCCTTTTTGCCTCGAGGGTTTTTCTAAATAACCTCGAAATTTATAGATCGAGATATAACTCATCTAAGCCATCTTGCCGCTGGAGAAACCGGCAAAGGAATTTGATTTTCATTGCGATACCGATATCATATGACCATACATTTCATATCAACCGCCAATGTCAGAGAAACATTATTTCTCGCAAATCTAACCTCTATAGCAAAAATAGGACATGTTCTATAAGAACAGCTCATAGGAAAACTTATTTCGTTAAGCTAGGAATTATTACGTCACAGCTCTGGCGCAAAATTTCACGACCGTAGTTTTAAGACCAATTTTGTTACTTATCGGTTAAAGAAAAAAGTAAAAATACTCAAACTATATGCAAAAAAAGTAGATTGATAATGTACTTTGCATGTTACTATAAGGGTGGCGAGCACCAAGGGGATTCAAAACCAAGTTAGTATCTTGTTGAAAATATATGAAATTCGTGGTGAAATCGGTTCAATTGATGAATGTAGTAGAACTGTGTCTACCCTGTATTAAAAATATCATACTGTTATTTATACAATATAGAATAATATAATATGATAATAAAGGTGGCGTTACTATCTGTCTTGCTGTCACTACGTAGAATGACACTGTCCGTCACTCCGTCCAAGAAAAAATTCAAATTTGTAGTAATGGGAACTAAAAGATCATCACAGGGTGTAGATTTTTGATTTTAAGTTTTTTTTTAAATCTATAATTAGAAAAGTTGACTTGATTTTTTTACATTCTTCTAATAACTATTATGACTTGGGCTATTCTCCGTTTCCGGCTTGACGTCGACTTCTGTATAATAAAAAATTAAATATTCAAAAGTTGATATTCAATAACCTAAAAAGTGAGATTCGCAAGAACTTATTTTATACTACACCTTAAGTTGACCAGAAGATCGAAAAACAACCTGAGAAAGGATACTTGATTTTCCCAAATAAAATATTAACACTACAAGTTTTTCTTGATTAAGAAACTCAGATAAATTAAAAATAGGTGATTTCGGAACGTTTTAAAACTTTTATTTTCGCAACGGCAACGGCAAACTGCAGCATTAATTCAAAAATCCATTTCAATTTAAATATTCTTCCTTTGATATAATACCAAGGTGTTCGAATTGAGAATAATCATCCTAAATTTCCAGGTTGTCCACAAAATTGGGGAACCCCACCACCACGTCGAGGAACATCACATCCCCCACCATTTCGAACATGAACACTACCATTGAGTGGGAGGAGATATGAGGTGGCATGTGTCGTAAGGTCGGAATTTTATTTACTGTTTTTTTATTTGTTAATAAATACGTTAACAAACGGAGACGGTTTCATTCTCATCGTTGAACGACAGTATTATAGTCTCAACTGGTTAAAGATATTTATTTTCTAGCAACGACGAGGAAACAATTCGTGCTTCAAAGTTGGTTCTTAGGTATATGAACGGATGAATGAAGAATAAAGATATCTACAGCAGGGAATCTCTACTATAAAAAGCATTTGAAAGCCTTACTAGCAAACGGTAAACGGATTTGCCTAAAATCCACGCAAGAATACTTCATTGATTTTTTTTTAGAGAAGAATTAGAATTAAATTAGACTTGAGGCATTTTTAGTTCTACATAATATACGAAACTCGTGGTTTAAAAATACCAATTGGGTAGATTTGTTAGCTTCCAATGCTAGAAAATAAACATCCTATCAAAATATACTTTATATAGGTTTTCTAAGGCATGGACGAGACTCAGTCGAAATAAGTTGTTTTAATGGATATTCTAGGACCCTTGTCATATAATGAAAAGTTCATAGTTTTAAAGAAAATATTAACAGTAACATCATCAATTACCTAGTAGATATGCATGCTTTTATTGTATATTATTTTCTACTAATACAGAAAATACTGTCGATATATAAAATATACACATTTATATTGCACTCAAAAGCTGATTCGTAAAATTGTGTTTTCGAATTATTTTACTATACAATCAGGTAGCACTTGACCTGGCGAAACTATCATGGAATAAGAAGCAGGAATTTCAAATGTCGACCCTACCAAATATATGTATGAATTCATATACCTACTAACACAATACTAACAGCCTCACTAACCGTAATTCATAAAAATATACATTTTTCTTCACACAATCTAACTATTAACAAAACTAACAGTATTATACACCTAACTTTATTGTATAATAGTACCTGAGGTAAGGATATGTTAAAATATAGATAGATGCTCACGTTGAAACTGTATTACGTTTGATCCGAAAAATGTAAAGAAAATTTTCGACAAACTTACGACACATACATCTTCTATTATTGATTGTGATAAATTGTTACTGTTCATAGGTTTATTTTTTGTACACCGTTTTGAAAATAAAATGATATGCAATAATATAAATCTCTTATGAAGGAAATACCATAAACAACTTAACGTTTTCCTAGATACCAGCATAATGCAGAGGGATAACAATGATGAAGCATTATTTTGCCGATAGTTAATGCATGAAAATAAAAAGTATCACCCAAAAAAGGTGTGAAATGTGCCTCGGGTACCAGAAAAAGGATCTCGATTAGGATATCTTCAACAACAACAAAAAAAGTACCTTACCTCGTATGACGTATACCAGTATGTAGACATATTAAAATCTAAAAAGGAAATAACCGAAAAAAGGTTGTGAAACAGTACCATTTCGAAAATCGCATTAAATGTACAACAAGTTTTTGTCCCGGTGATCCTATTTCATTCTTTGTTACTACAGGGTGCCAAAGGACGACGTACAAATTGGCGTTCATTAAAATGTTGCTTTAAAATAGGTTTCATGAGGATTTCGCTAAAACTTGAGAAAAATAGAACATTGTTTTCGATTAAAAAATCAATTATTGTTTCGAAACACACCCGATCCATAAAAATTGATATTTGTAAAAATGGCAACAATTCAACTAGACCAGTGTCGATTTTTGCTAAAAAATTGATTGCTGCATATCTCGAAAACCATGATGCTTTTGACATTTTGACTAAACGAAATTTTTCCAAACAGTAGGTCATGATTTCAATTTGTAGGGCATCCGTCAATTTCTGGACACCCTGTATCTCTCATGTCACATGAACTCATAAACTCATAAGCTGTCATGAATGAAAATCTGAATTGATGGAGTGGTAGAGGCATGAGTGCCTGCAGCGGGTTTCACGTATCGTTGGTTTATGTTACATCTCGTAAGTTTGTGAGTGCACGTGACGAGAAAATAATGTATTCTCGCCTTAATATCCAAAGGAAGTATTGATCAACAGTAAACGACAATCTGCTACACTGCTAGCTCAGAAACTTAAAAGATATGCATTTAAAATAGTTGCTAAGCCTAAAACTTTAGGGTGGCAAGGACAAAAAAAGAGAATTCTGAACTATATTAGTACGATGCCGAAAATGTATAGAAATGGTAACTTCAGGAGTTGCGTATACAAAGGATGAGATGGTATTTTTGATACTAAGGTTACACAGTTCAACTACTTTCGTATATGGACCCAAATTCCACCAACCTTACGATATATTTACTATACATATATTTAACAGATTAATTTAGTTTTGAATTATCTATGTTGCTGTTCAACACCCTTAATAACAAAGAAAGGATAAAATTAATTAAACTCTATGAGTTATTTCAAAAGGACCCAACTAAGAATGCTCTGTAAGTTGTCACTAGCGATTTTTCTCCGACTGATTTTTAAACCGTAGTGTATAAATTTTGAGATGTTTTGAGAATAGAAGCGGCAGCAATCTAGTGCAGCGTATCATTAAAATCCTTTGTGTTACGTTTTCCAATACAGGAAGCATCGCATTCAAATAATTGGATCTTAAACCACCACCGAGTGATTAGATCTATAAAATTCCCAATAAGGCATCTTTATAGGTTTATCGGCAAAGTAGGTATCTCCAACGATCACATCCGTAGTCCGCCTATTCAACTGGCGATACGCATACGCGCAGAAATAAAGCAATAACACACAACTTTCACTGAGCGGACCACCTCATCAACATAATAGTTCAGGAGGATTATAACTTTTTAATTATTTAAAGATGTTTTACCGTTTTTACTCGATTACATCCATAACCTCACGATTTATTTGTCAACGGTTACAAGTAAACACAAGGTCCAATACTCGTACATCTGAAGCGCCGCTAATCAGCGCGATATTTTTTACATAGTGTTATATGTTTTTGATGAACTAGTATAGGGAACACATATCATCATTTACCAAAAGGAATAACGACAAATCAATCATAAGAACTGTTGCAAAACAAAGATGTTATATTCGAGGCGTCGAAGAAGCATTGTATTTCGGCGTCCAAAAAATTATCAAAAATGAAGCGGGATATCCTGGCATCATCTATGAGAATTTGTTACAGCTATGTTTCTTCTCTCCGCAATAATTAGAAATTGAACAGGGCACTATCTGATAGATGGCGCTGTAGCCAGCTATATAAGCATATATTAGCATATAGTTTACAATGTGATCTATGAGAAATTAACTTTTTCAACATACATTTCTAATTATTGCGGAAAGAAGAAAAATAGTTGTGTCAAATGTCTTGCCTAATAAAGCGAGAATTATAATTATTATTATTATTATTATTATTATTATTATTATTATTATTATTATTATTATTATTATTATTACTATGTCAAGAAGCTGTTAGGGACAATATACGAACAAATCGTTGAATTCATTGGAGAAAACAAAATTCTGACAAATCACGCTAAATAAATCTTCAACAAACAAACAAACAAAAATTCCCATTTCATCTCGGATTTTTTGGACGCTGAAATACGCCAAATGGTTGGCTTCATGCAAAATATGTTGACCAATGGTGTTAGAAACTATATTTATGTATGTGTAGTTTTCCCGCGACCTTTACAATTGATGAAAACATTGTTACTTCTGCCGATTACACAATGACACACTCTTCCTTAATCGCTAAAGAAATCAAAAATTATATATATTCGCGAAACTATACGCAGAAACGGTCATGCCCAGTGCACGCGTATCAAAAACACCATATTGCATGTCGGGATGCCATAATTTATCAATTAGCGGATAAGAAACGGTTTGATTGTTTTTTATTTATGCGTCGTAGCCTTGCTACTCGCTATAAGTTGTAATTAGCGATTCTCGTTTTCTTTTCCTATATGTTTAGGTAATGTTAATAACGTCTGTCTGTACGTACGTTTGTGTGATCTATTTCTTCGATTAATTACCGCATCTCTAATTGCGTAACAGTTTTTCACTCCTTGTTGTGCGTATAGCTTATGGTATGGTGAAATTAAATTTTGTTTAAAAAATATCTATCAATATAACATATACTGAGTGTTTCAATCAACATTTTTGTTTCAATTTTTTAAAGGTCTTTTAGAGGTAGACTTTTCTTGGAATTTCGTTCAAACTGTAGTTATTGACAGAAAATGTAGAACAATTAATATATAGTATTTTTTGGTGAGTCGGTTCTCAAAATTACTTAAATTATTTGCTTATACTTAAAAAGTGATCTATGTATTAGATACATATATAAAAGCAATCCTAGCGCTATATCGACTTTATCTTTAAATCTTAAAATAATGACGGTCATATTGAATAGTAGTAGTAGTAGTAGTAGTAGTAGAATAGAATAGTAACGCATATTTAAAAATAAATCTAAATTTGAAACATTAAATGTAAGTTACGATATAAGGCGAAATTTATTCCTTAGTAGATAAATATCGACAGTACTCTTGTCTGATTCCGCCCTCTTCTCAGTAAAAAAATTCAGTCCTAAAATCGAGATAAGACTATATATGATGAGCTCTATAATCCAGTACTTCTACAAAAATGGCGTAAATGAATGCCTATAGATTTTTTATGTATTGCGGAGAGGTACTTTTTGCTGTATATTTTATCCCAAATCGCTCATGTCATCTATGTCGATTTACCACTATGGTTCTCTTATACCCATCCCAAGACTTTCGATCCACTTAAATGCCGAAATCAGTACCTGAAACTGAATCACTGATGTTCATAAAATAAACAACACAAACCTTTGAGCAAGCGCCAATTTGAGCCTATCGTTCTCGTACTTGAGCTGCATATCTATGGGATGGTTCGATCCGGAATACTGCTTGTCCCCGGCAACCTTGCCATGGCTGGGGCTGTCACTGCCGGTCACCCCGGACATGGAGTGGCTGCGCGGATGCGGTACGTCGTCCTCCACTGCTGTCGTTTTTGGTGACGAGCTTATTGGCATCACCGCCGCACCTGAAAAATGCAAGGAAGGTAAAATTGGGGCGGTTTTCCTAAAGTTTTTATCAAAGGTGGAATTCAATTGCTTATCGAGTTGAACAGGTAATAAAAAATGGCTCAAAACAGATTGTTCACAATTTTTTTAATAATTCCGAAAAGGACAAAGTTTCGCGATATAATCATACTTTCTTCCACGCCTACTAGCGGGAAAGCATTGTACTCGCTAAAATGTTCGAAAATAAGATATGTTTTTTAGATGTTATTTGAGGCATGTACATCACAAAAAACCATGTCACTCACTGTCTGTCTGTCTCTCTGTTCGCTAATCTTATAACCGCCTATAACTTGAAAAGTATCGCTCGGATTTAGATGAAATTTTTATACAATGTTACTATTATACCAAGAACGCAAAAGCTTTGCAGTTTTTTAAAATCTGTCCAGTGGCGACGGAGGAAAAGGTCAAAAACAAAAATAAATAAAAATCGCTCAAACTTCGTTTTTAGTCGTTCCAGACGATCCTGATAATTTTCGGAACAAGGTTTATAGGGTTTAAACATTCGATGTTAGGGCTTACAAGAGGTGGAGGAAGGTATTTCTAAATTGTTTGACGTTGGTAAATTTATATGCCTTCAACCCCAGTGATTCTACGCACATATTAGGCATATTTCACTCATCAGAGATGTCTCCGTGCATTTACCCTTAAAACTTAGAAATATCTCGTACAGTCTGGTGTTGATACGAATGACGTCGTCCCCCGATGGATAAGCGTCGTCGGCGGTGGTCGTCGGCAATCGCGTCCGTACTGCTGTGGGCTGCGTGCACTGTGCATGGTGAAGGCTAATATCACCATTCACGCGGGATTGATCATCGCAATGTTCATGTGCGTCAGCAGTAATTCCTCTCAGGGGGAGGAGGGAGAAAGGTCATTCAATTTTTCGTTATACAAGTTCGTGGATAACTTTTTTCTCAGAAGGGCTGACTTGTACCAAACGAACTGATGACAGCGTAGCGTGGGAAGTACAGAGTCAACATAATTGATGTCATTTTTTTATTACCGTATGTACTTAGTGACATTTATAAAAGCTGTGGATCATTTCACAAAGAGAAAGTGAAACGACTTGGTAGTTCTCTCTGGAAAGCTTTGAAGAAGTTGTGCAATAGTGATGACCTTATACTGGGTGGCCGATATGTGACTGACTGGTTTATATCTTGAATATTCGTGAAATGATTTGAAATATGTCAATTTTTTTCATCTTAATCTTTTATTGAAACTTAGAAATTATGTATGAAAAATAATATCAGACAAATGTCCGCCTCTAGAAGCCGCGCAAACCTGAGTCCTCTTCATTACATTTTCCTTCACTTTTTTGTAGGTTTCGGGAGGAATATTTTCAATCGCTTCCGTAATATTGTTTTTCAACTGCTCTACAGTATTCGGTTTGTTGGCATAAGCCCTATTTTTCAAAAATAAAAAAGTCAGGAGCGGTTAAGTGCGCAGACCTTGGTGGCCAGTTGACATCACCAAATCGAGAAATTGAACGTCCCGGAAATACTGTTCGCGAAAGATTCATTGTTTCCCTAGCTGTGTGACAAGTTGCTACGTCCTGCTGGAACTACATGTTTTGCAGGTTAAATTGTTGGATTTGAGGAGCCAGAAAGTTTTGCACCATATCACAGTAGCGCTCCATACCAAACACCGCAACCAAACTGACTCGACGAGGATGTAGTGGTCGTTGATGGATGACATGAGGGTTCTCTAATGCTCAGATACAATTCTGCTTGTTAACAAATCCGTTCATATCGAAGTGGGCTTCATCGCTCATTATCAGTTGTCAGTAAAAATCGTTATTTTGGGTATTAAGCTGCAATATTGCATGGCTGTACTCTCGGCGACTTTCATGGTCACTAGGCTGTAGTCCTTGGGTTAACTAAATTTTGTATGGCGGCAAATGCAAGTCTTTTTTTAAAATAAATAATGACGTGCGACGAATACCTACTTCTTGAGAACGATGTCTGGGAGCCGTCTCAGGGCGCTCCACTACACTTTCACGAACTTTCTGGATATTTTCCGGAGTACGAAAAGTGCGAACACGGCCCCCGGCAAGTCTTTAACTTCACCTATTTGTTCAAATTTCCGCACCAACTGAGGAATGGGCACATTATTTCGACCGAAATCTTGTCATAGCTTCCGAATCGTTGCAACAATCCACTCATTATTTAAGTAAAACGTTTTAGCAAAACGGACGAGTAGTGGGATCGTATATTTTCCGCTTGCGATGCCATGTTGAAAAAAATAGGGCCCAAAAACAATTTCTTGATAATGTCTCAATTGCAACTCTTGGTACTGTAAAAATAGTTGTACGAAGTCTTTAAATTAACTAATGAAACTGTTTTCTTTAATTTTATTTTTTTATTCAAATATAATTACATTTTTATATTGTCATCCGTTAAAACAACTTCCTTCAGATGCCACACAGCGCTGGAGACGGTTCTTCCACTCCTTATAGCAGTACTGGAGCTCCGATACTGGAATAGCCTTCGGTGATTTTTCAACTTCGGGAAGAGAAAAAAGTCACATTGACTCAAGTCAGGCGAATAAGGAGGCGAATGAGCCACAGGAATGTTTTACTGGCCAAAAACTCATTTATTGATATTGCTGTGTGACAAGTAGCATTATCGTGACGCAACACCCAGTTGTTCTTGATCTGATGAATGGTGGCGAGACTCAAAATTAACTCTTCCCCGATCATTTTGACTGTCAACCGACGATCTGAACGCAGGATTCTGTCGATATTTTCATCGGTGCTTTGAAGCTGAAGGCCTTCCACTTCAATCGACTCTCTACCTTCTGAAAATGCTTTTTAAACCACCGAAAAACCTAAGCTTATAACAAAACACTAACTCCATAGGCCTTCTGAAGTTTGTAAGAATTTCCATTGCCCCGTGCCCAAGTCTGAATCAAAACCTGACAGCGCACCGTTGCTCGAAATTGTCACTCATTTTTAGAACACAACAGAATAAACTAACTCGAGCGAGTTCAAACTTGTACCGCCTCCAGTGTTGCAAAACCGAACGCTACGTTGCCAGTCTCATCACTTAATTTACAGACCTCGTAGATCCTTTTTAATACTTGTGCTGCCGAAACGCGGATTGTAAAAGTCCCTATGCCATGACGGATATCCTTCATAACAAAACGTCTTTCATCAATACCAAACATACAATATTTCAACCCTCTCACAATCATCAAAAATTAAGTTAGGGCGATTTTTAATTCACAAAGTTTTTTCGTCTTTGGGGTTGCAATGTTGCAGTAACCCAATGTCAAAATTTCATTAAAATTTGAGTGCTAGTTTCAGAGTTATAGATCCGTCCAGAATTAGCGGACAAATAGACAGCCAGAGCGACAAACCGAGAGAAATGCCACGCCAATTGGCGTGACACGTAAGATGTCAACCTAAAACATATTTTGGTGTACGATCAATATTCCAAGCATAACTAGTCAGACAGGATACTCACACTAACGCACATTTATAGTCGACCTTTGGGAGCTAATGCCCATATGCATCGTTTGACACTTTAATCCAGATTGGGGAATCCGGATCGGGAACGGCAGATTCGAATATGATGCACGGCGAACTTTCTAATCGCGATTACTTAATCGTTGAACAAAACGTGGCAATATTGCAAATTTGTAGATTCTGTCAAAAAAATTTTAAATGTGACAGTTTCTATATGTTCAAGAGGGTTATCAAAATGGAAAGGAATTAGAAGAAATGAGAACCGAATTTTACTGCTAATGAAAAGATGCATTTAATTAATGCAAAATTGCGCGGCTATGCGAAAATATTTTTGAGAACAAGATGGCCGACAGAGCCTCTAAAGCAATGCTTGGATTCAAACTGAAAAAGAATCTAACTCCTCTTCTGCCTCTACTGCATACAGAAAAGCCGAGTCATTGATAATGTCGTATGAATATACAGGGACCGGAACAGGTCAGGACGAAAATAATATGAAAATATGATTTTTTTTTTGGAAATATGAAGAAATATGAACTTTTAAAAAAATATGAAGAAAATATAAAGTTTTTTTTAACCAAATATTAGTGCACATTGCAAATAATATATTTTTTTAGTAATAATCCTCTACCAAATGGCCGGTTAAGTCAAATTCAGCTTTTTTCAAAATAAATTTTTAACGAAAATACTACTATAGTAAACAGAAAAAAGTGGAACTTGACCTGGATGGGGTATGGCCTACTAAACTATTAATTTATTAGAAACTTGTTTAGGAACAGAAACAGGTACAAAACATCAATTTTGGCTTCTGCAAGGTCACCCTTTTTTAATGCGCTTTTAGGTCTGTCTGAGGCTTATTTATAAGTTTATCTGATACCGTGGCTTGTAGCTTAGCATCATTTTTTTTCTTTTTTAGTTTGATTTCTAATTGTTTCACCTCATCTTTGCTTTTATTTGCATCATCTCGTTTTAATCTTTCTTCTTGCAATAACTTCTTTAAAGCATTTTCATCATTTTCTTTTTGTTTTCTTCTTTTTCTTTCTTCTTCTAAACTCATATTATAATTTTTGTAAGCAACTCGTGCCATTGCTATTAAATTTTTGCTAATGGGCACAAGTTCTGGCTTATTGTCATAAATTTTTAATGCGTCGCAAATATTGAACCGTAAATTTAGCATTTTTTCTTTCATATTTGTTCTTAGTTCACACATTACTTGATTAGACAAAGAGAACCCTCTTCCAACTTCGGCGCTTCCATGCTTAATACTTAACGCTGCCTTAAATAAAGTTTGAACTGAAAGATATTTTATTTCGCCTGCATGATTCGTTTTTTCAAAATAGCAGTTTCAATATTCTTCTACTCTAACATTTCCTTCTTGAGGCTCTTCCTCTAACTGTAGCAAATTCCATTCGTCAACTACATAATCCAACTTTAGATCTAGCGGACGGCTATTTAAAAGATTAGTTAAATCTTTAACGGTTGAGTCATATTTTCTACTGCTAGGATTATTTAAGATTTTTATTAAACAGGTTATCAGCTGTAATTAAGTAGGATCCAGCGGCCACATAATGTTTCTGCACATTATGCAAAAATAATATTTTATCCTTTTCTGGAACTGCTAATAACTCTTTTTGTAAATCTTTTTCAAAAATCGAATTCTGTGATGGCATTAAATTATTTTTTTCAAATGGATTAATATTTGAAGGCATTGATTTAAAAGCTTTAATTACGTCTTGCTTGCAAATCTTGATGGATATCGAAATAACAAGGCCTTTCAATTCGGAATATACTTTATGAATTAATGGTTCCTCTTTCGGAACATAGTAGTATATTTTGTAAATAAACTTATACTCGACAGCAAAAAGAGCATTTCACATTTTAAAGTTTTTTGCTTAAGGTACTGTAACCAGAACTTTTGATTTGATGGTTTGCCTTGAGAGGTATAAACTTAAGAAAGTACTCATTAATAGCCTCCCATTGTTCCAAAATCCTTTCAATAGCAGGACCTAAAGTTAGCCATCTACTATTAACATGCTTTAAGAATTTGTGTTCTGGAACACTCTTTTTTCGTTGTATCGCATTATAGTCCTCGCACCTTGAAGGCCATCCATCAAAAAAATGATATATAGCTATAATTAAATTACAGCAATCTTCTCCTAACTCTTTCAGACCCTCCAAAAAACTATTATGAACAGTTTGGATGGTATATGACCCCATATCCATTAGCACCTTACCTCGAATACTTAAAATATACTCATTTTTATTAACGTTTGGACCGTCGCTAGTGATGGAGATAAGTTTTGCTAATGGCAAGTTGGCATTATCTATTGCTTTTAAAATTGCACTTTTAAGATCTTCTGCCATTGCATGGCCCATATAAAAGCTTTCTAAATGAAATGATACTATTTGGCCTGCTTTTTTTTTACCAAAACTTTATTCTTATTTGCAACTCTTTCTTTCCAGCATTATTGGTCGTCTCATCATATTGAAGTGAATAATAAGAATTTCTGGCTTCTTCAAGCATTTCATTTCTGAAATGGGGTCCTAGCGCATCTGTAATAAGATAACTTATTTTTTTCGGACTTAAGGAAAATTGATCTGGTACAGCACCTTCAGCTGGAAACATTTTCTTAAACAAACTAGAAGAAAGCTTCGCAAAACAATTTTTTATGTTTTTCGCCATCTATATGTTGCTGTATGCTAAAAAATCATCTGGAAATGTGAACCACTTTAAGACAAACATTGCAAAAAAGTTCATTTTCACCGTGCTTTATGGCACAATGTGAAATCAAATAGTTATTGCTGTCTTTCTTTGTCAACCATTCTCCTTGAAATTTAGACATTTTGTTCCGTTGTTTGGTTACTAAACTTGATTTTTCTGTTACATGGGAGTAAAAATACAACACTAAAATATGTAATTTTAAACTGTGTAGTGATCATTATAAACCCTATATAAACAAGGTTTACAATGATGACCACTTCCTGAAAAAAATCTTGCTAACACAGCCAAAAACTCGGCCGGAGCAACGTAAATTCCCTTAGTTGATCTTCACTGGGAAAAAAATTAAAAATATGAAGATTTTTCTAAAAGTTGTGACTGCTTTAACATCATATGATATTGCTTCTGAATACAATCTACTCTTAGACAAAATACTGACTTTATTGGAAAAACAAAAGCTACAGATGAAGAGCAAAAATTTATAAAAATGGAAAGAAAACCTAAAATAGATCTGCTTCAGTTAAAAATTTCCAATCAAAAACTAAATTTAAATTCCAATGCACTACAACGAGAATTATTACTTTGTGTTAATATACTATATGTTACTTCTTTTTCAGTGCAATAAAGATACTGTAGCAAAGTTTTAAAAAGTATGTAGTTTTTTCCAAAAATTGTGTGTTTATTATCCAGATGTTTTATAAATAACTAAAATAGTTATCTATCAGATTTTGGCGAAAATTAAATAGGTCTTGACCAACATACGCTGCATGTACATGAGGAATGTCTCCTTGTACAAGTAGGTAATCCAGCTCTTGGCCATTGAGTTCTTTTGGATAGAGAGGCAAATCCTCTAGCATACTCGTATTCACGGCCATATTTTGCTAGCACAGCAGTGGCAACAACTGTAGTCAAAGCGTTATCTAATCGAGACCGAGTACGTTTCCAAACACCAATTAATGTTTCTACTACATTGCACATAAGCTTCATCATAAAGATTTTCGGCAACATTGCCTGGATTTTGTAGAGGTGTGATTAGGTAAACTTTCAACTGGTAACCATTATCTCCCACGAGCGCCGCGTTCTGAAATTGTCTCCCTGCAGTGCGTCTTCTTAGGTGGGAGGCATAGAAATAATAAAATAGTTAAATCATGGGTAGATCCTGGCCATCGAGCAACAATATCAAATATTTTCAAATCTGGTCCAGCAACTATTTAAGTATTTATAGAAAAATATGACTTTCTATTATGAAAAACTTCTCCATCTTGAGCTCCTGGTGATTGTATCTTTATGTGCGTCCTGTCCATGCATCCAATGACTCGTGGAAATCTACATATCCTATAGAAGCCATTCTGAACTCTTATTATTTCATCAGCTTCATTGGGCATTCTGATATATTGATTTGATAAACCTGCTATTGCTCTTAAAACTTTTGCAGTTATATGAGATGCTGTTGTCTGATGCATGCTAATAAAGTCTCCAATACAATTTTAATGTGCATTGCAGGCATAAAATCATAGGCATGTAAGGAGCTGATTAATGGGCAACATACTATTATTCCTGGAAAAACAAAAATTTTATAGTGACTGAAATCTTGGAAATACCTAATGTGATTCAGATCCACAGCCAGAGGAAAAGGTGTTTAAAGATGTTCTTGTCTAAATTATGCCAAGGAAATTGATTATCGTAATTTAATATTTGGTAAAAAATACTTACAAGTTATTATCAAACTCGAGTTGATGCTTTATTTGTTCTACCAATCTGAGGACACTGTTTTTTTTTGGAGTCGAAATCTCCTGAAAAACGATAGGTCGTCCATCTCGTTAAAAAAATCTGTACGTTCATAATAGTGTCTTGGAAATCCGATCGAATAATATCTAGAATGTCACCATCATCTTCAAGGGAAATGTCATCTTCGATCTGCAGTACTTTTGCAAAAAATCACTTTTTCGCAAATACATCAACAACTCGAAATCAGGTTAGAACGAAAATCCGTCAATATTCGGATTGAACTGTCAATACGCTAGGATTACGCCTAAACGCGATTAGCAGGTGTTAAATGTATGGGGGCATATGAAAACGGGGCAATAATCTGGATTAGTCATTAATCGTACGTCTCAAGGAACCGTAAATATGGGCATTGGCGTACCACTGAGTAGAGATTAAGCATATTTTGAATTTCACAATAGGCAGTTACCATCACAGGTTTTCAGAATTTTCAAAATTTTCTAAATTTAAAAAATCTAGAATATCCTGAGAACCTTGAAAACTTTCTTGGGAATATTAAAAACTAAAAATTTTGAGAATTTTTGAATTATCAACAACAAATTCCCAAAATTTTGAAAATAAAGACCTCTCCATTTTAATAACCTGTGATGATGTTATGCTATCACCACTTGACGGTCACTCAAGGGTAACTTATGGTTTGTTTGAAACTCAAGGGTTCATCAACCCTCAACCAGCATTCAGCCCTCAAGGGTCAACTATAAATGTGGGTCTGTAGACTATTTGCAATTATTTAATCATACAGTACATACCAGGTGGCTCCAGTAAGCTATCAGACTGATCTAACGTGGCATTAGCTGCCCTGGCCGTGATGGGGCTGGCATTGGCGCTGGTGACAGGCGTCACAGCCGCACCTCCATTTGCTGTCACTTTGCTGATGGCCGATCGGGTTGCCTCTTTTACTTCGTTGAATTTATCAATGAACTGAAACAAAATGAAATAGTTACATCACTAGCCACATACAATTTGATATCAATACCATCATACATTGTGATAAAAGTATCGGGGCCTATAAGCCGGATTTTTTGGCCTGAAAATCACTCAAATTCCAAGTTGACCACAACCACCACCAAAGCATAAGTTAGCAATTTCTGGCATTTTTGTTCAAACTTCACCAATGTTTGAATATTCAACATAAGTATTTTTATAGGAGCACATGGTTGAAACACTGTCTACTTCAAATCTATAATAAAACATACTAAGACACCAAACATATACGAGGTATTTAAATTAAGTGATGAGACTGGCAATGTAGCCTTCAATCTGGCAACACTGGAGTCACAGGCAGGGAAACATGTGATTTGTCTCACGCCACACCATTCATCAGATAAAGAACAACTGGATGTTTCATCACAATAATGCTTCTTGTCACACAGCAATGTCAATAATCGAGATTTTGGAAAGTAAATACATTTCTGTGGCTCCTCAGCCTCTTTATTCGCCTGACTTGAGTTGTGCCTTTTTTCTCTTCCCGAAGTTGAAAAATCACCTCAATGGAACATTTTGGGATAGCCGAAAACATTCAAATGGTTGTAACAGACCAGCTAAAGGCTATTCCAGTGTTCCAGCACTGCTATGAGGAAAGGAAGAATCGTCTCCAGCACTGTGTTGCTTCAGAAGAAAAATATGTAAGGGTGACAATATAAAATTGTAATTATATTGGAATAAAAAAATTAAAAAAAAAAAACAGCCTCATCAACTAATGTAGAAAACAAAAAGCTGAAGTCTTATTGTAACTATATATGGATTTGTTTCAACTTTTGTTTTTAATTTCAGTGCAATGGAGCAACACTCTTATTATTATATGTTTTGAATTGTCGTGTATCTTACTATAAATTTGAAATATAAAGTGTTGCGACCGAAAAATTTTGGTAGATTTCGGATTAAATTCAGTAGAATAGGATTAAAATCGGTAGATCTACCGAAAAATTGGTAGACCTGGTAACACGATGCCAGATGGACTACTGGTAGCACGAGGAAAGGATGTCTATGGATTAATTGTGTGGACCTGTTTGACTGACTTGATCCGTTCAATTTCTCTGTTATACATGTTAGTAACTAACTTGAGCTGAATAAAATCATTTATGAACTGATGATGACGTTGCTTGGAAGTGCACAATCAGCCTACTTGACACCATTTCGTATAGTCTGATCAATTTTGCACACCACCAAACAACTATTTTTCAAATATCATTACTATATTTAGTTATTTTTGGCAATTACACCATACAAAATAAACAATAAAAAGTCCTATACAATATTATAGTTACTACAATCAAAAAGTAAACATTTTGCAATATACCCTCATTATGCTAGGTAGTAAACATTAGGTAACTAGTTGTTGTACTATATAATATATTGAGCCTAAATATTTTATCAGGAAACAATGCAAACAAAATTGGATTACATACACATTACATTAAAAATCAAATTAAATAGAAATTTTTCATAAGAATTATCCAACAAGATTTTTGCATGCAATTAGACAACTGGAAAATCGTTTTAATTCAAAAATAAAATATATTACAGGGTAATAAAAAAGTGCAATGTTTCTAAGGTGAAATAGTGGAAAAGTCCAAAAAATTTCAGGTTTCAGTGTATTTAGCAAATATGAGATTTTCTGAGAAGTATATTTGGAACACTGATGAAAACAGCTCTCTTTGTGATATGGAGTCTTCAGACAAAATGGGTTATTAGGAAAAATAATCAAATAGTTTTGATATCAAAATTACAAGGACAATAATACCTCAAAAGATAAGAACAAGTGAAAATGGTTATATGAAAACAAGATACAGTACTAAAAAACTTTTAAATTTTTTTGTCATGATGATGTGTCCTGGTCATAAGGAAAATATTATTTACTTTTTATTCCTCTTTTTCTACATATAAATATTTACATGTCTTGGTAAACATTTTTTTACTGAACTGCCTCAGAAGGAGGGTTATGTTTTTCAGGTGTGGATATAGATGGTCTTTTTCATTAGTAACCATTACAGTACATATGTTAAAATGACAGCAAATTATCTACCAATATTTCAAAATTCCCAATATCCGCAAAGGACACATAATTCTGATGGATCCGTCAATGCCAGATAGACAGAGCCATATTTTATTTTGATTTTTTGTACACTACAGATTCATTTTGTACTTGCTGAAAGCTCTTTTATTCAGAAAAGCTCATTTGCCTACAAAAAACAAAACGCTACAAACAAGTTTTACAAGATTTACACCCAATTCATTATTGCCAACATTACAGACTAACACAATAATGTCGCTTGCCAATCAGCTGTTCACCTCAGTAGATGTCAAAGCGTGATGGATACCCTTAAAATAGGGTATATGTTTGTGGAAAAAAATTTTATATCATAGGCTACAACCCAAAGTGGTTTAATGGATTTTGACATTTAATGAGTCCAGTATCCCAGCCAACCAAAATAAGAGTTTTTATTTCAAGGTGGCTTAATGGATTGGATTGACATTTGATAGCATACCTAACACTTCATTTTATTCAGTGATAGCTGGGTATATTGCATTTTTTTAAAATCTACTTGTAAACATTGACGTTTATCTAGAGGGTGATCTTTAATCATGAGCTCATACTGCAGGATATCATTCCTCAAATAATTTTAAGGAAAAAGTTTATATAAATGTATGTCAGCAATAGCTTAACTTATTAGCCGCCAGAATAGAATTTTTATGATAAACAATTGTACTTATTTTATATCTTTGAAAGTACTTTAGATATTATAATTTTACTGTTGAACATATGAAGGGGTTTTTTACAGTTTCTCAAATTACTCTTAGGTATATCAAAGAACATTCTGCAATAATTACAATGTGTGACTGAAATGACGATGCTGATACTCACTTTCTGCAGCTCAGCTTCAGAAGAGAAGCCCAGTCCATAAACAGTGTTAGCCCTTACATCTGACCACTGGCCAAACTTCTGTGAAGTCTTGGTGAAAGTCATGTTGGGTGTAACAGTGCTGTTGATGACTGCCTTCTGGCCTTCGACGCTGATTATTCTGTAAAGGCTCCTCGAAGAATCATAGAAAAATGATACAGAAACCGCCGAACTGGAGGCTGGCATCCATGATCTCTTAGTTTTTGGATCAATGTGGAAAACGTGGGCTTTGCAAGTGAAAATAGGCTGCTCCCTAAAAAAAAGAAATGGCTTCAGCACTTGCTAATAAAATTCATGCTTCCTAATATACACTTCACGAGCGGAGACCAATTAAAGAGTCGAGTGATATGTGGGTGTGTAAGGGTGTATTGTAAATATTATTCTAAGTTAAAATTCCACCCCTAAGCTACTTTATTAGATTAATGCATCTATAATTACCCCATCGTGTCCTTCCCAGACGTCATGATTTGTGGAATTTATGAGGAAAAGACTACAAAAAACAATTTCCTCCTGACATAGGAGCTGGTTTCTTGTCACTTGCACGTCACTCGCTGGGCAGTGTTTTCTCATGGTTGCCAATGCTAGAAAGAACGAAAAGGGGTAAAAACATAGAGACTTTTCCATTTGTCAGTTTGCAATGTTGGAGAAAAAGACTTGTAGGGCTGACCAATCAGCAGAACGATAAATGAACACGTGGAAATGACCAGTAGTTATGACACACCTTCTTTGCAGGCTAGACAAAAACATTCAAATTTTGCCAGAGACTGTAGAACCGCTCCCACAGGATGTAGCGAATACCTTACAACGTTGGACACATGGCAATTCGCCACATCGTGTGGGAGAGCGATGACGGATTGCATGTGTCCAACGTTCGCCACATGGCACGTTCGGGCTCTTGTCGGTAAATTTGACCCGCGTCAAAGGACGTTACAACGTTGGAAGCATAGTTCGTTACGCTCCCACAGGAGATGTCATGTGTTTGATGGTTTTAGGTCAGAACCAGTAGCAGGGACAAACATTATTTATTTGTTTGCTGTGATTGTGGTGAAGTAGTGGTATGTGGAAAGTATTTTGATTTAAATACCTACCTATTCATAATAATGTTTGCTCCGTAACTAACTTTTGAGAAGAGTGAATTAAAATAGTATACATACAAAACATAAGCTGTCATAACAGCACTTTTTTCATACTGCTAATATTTTGTACGTTTCGCAGGTGAATTATGGCTGGCCTAAGGATATGTATTTTAGTAAATTATAAATTATCAAGTAATTACAGTTTTTTCATTATAATGTCCTGTTGCAATGCAGGACTAGTTGAGAAATATATTGACTTGCATTTCATAACTAACGAAAAAGATTAAAGAAATGATGACTATGAAAGAAGTACTATCACGATTTTTTTGAATTGTTGACCCTAGGTTACTACTATGAAAATGAAAAAGCTCTGCAGTTTTTGAAAATCGGTACAGTGGGGGTAGAGCTATCGTCGAAAAACAAACAAAAAACGCTCAAACTTCGCTTTTCGACATTTTTGAGGATTCTGACAGACTAAAGTCTTGATCGCTGAGGACAGACCTGAAATTATTTTTCGGCGCTCGAAAAAATGGTTTCATCGTTTATTTTGTATAATTTTTCCTTCAGTTGTAAAGGTTCAAGCGCGACATTGACACCGATAATAGACGTTGGCACCACCATACGTGTAGGAGACACACTTGCCAATTGCGGGGTGTCGAACGTTGTAAACCAGGCTGTAAACAACGTTGGAAGCATCGTGTGGGACCCGCATAACAAGGATGACAGTGACAGTAGTTCATTTGCACCATCAAAAGTTGTCAAAAGCAAAAAAAGGTTAGGTTATATTTGTTATTTTTTTGATAAATAATAAACATGATATGAAGTACCGTATCAAATAATATGATCAACAAATCGTCAGCCTCTATTGAGAAATTAATATAAAGGATATGTTGTGATGCAAACTTGATTTTACCTTATTGCACACAAAATGGGGGCTTTATCAAAGTTCCTGCTTGTTACTTTTGAGCTAGTCAATGAGCTGTACACTGCTGTAGGGGCAGGTGTCCTGGGCATGGTGGTTCTTGTTAAGCATGGGCTTGAGTCGCACTGTGCTGTGAAGACATTAACTGTAATAGGCATTACCACAGCTAGTCTAGTTTATATCATGAGTGAGTCAGAACAAATATTACCGAATAAGAAAAGAATAGTCTGCATTACTGGCTGTGACTCAGGACTGGGATTTTCGTTGGCCCAACATGCTGTTGACATGGGGTTCACTGTATTTGCTGGCTTTTTGAGTTTGGACTCGAGGGGTTCCAAAGAGATACGTAAATTGTATGGTAATAAAATTGTACAGATACATTTGGACATTACAAACACAAGTAGTGTGTCTGCAGCTGTGAAAACCCTAGAACATTTTTTAAGTCAAAACCCTGGTTACAGTAAGTATAATACAAGCACTTTTATTTATAAGATGTAGGTGTATGTGATGTTGCAAGTTGGATCCTTTTGCATACCAAATATGACTACAACACAGTTTTACCACTCTCCAAACTGGTGATATGAAACACCCAATATGTTTATTTGTTAGCTTCTTAGCATCTTCAGGGGAAGATTAAAGTTAAAAAATGTTTTAATATTACCTTAAAGATGCTAACATAACTATTAATTGAATTGAAATGAAAGAAATATATAAGATTTATATTATTACTAATATGAAAATTTAGTAATTTTATTATCAACAGTTGCCTATGTAATTTCATTTTTGGTTCTTCGTGTTCCTGTGATCAAGTCAAGATCTGTCTGTGAGGATCACTTGAATCTGTTCCAAAACAATATTCATCAACACCAAAATATGTAACAAATTGCACAATAATCAGTTAAGGTTTAAGTTTGATATATGGGAAAGTTGAAAACTTACAAAAGGCACAAAATGACAGCCAGAAAACCAAAAACCAGAACTGTTGGGGGGATATAAATAGACTGACATCAAAAAATTGAGTAGTACCCTCCTCCCCTACCACCCGCACCCCCAAATCTTGTACATCTAAAAATTTTTCAAAAATGTTTGAGTTTGAGTTTTCACTCCACTCTTTTGTTTTCTGCCTTCTTCTCCGTTGCCACTGGACCGAATCTCAAAAACTACAACACTTTTTTATCCTTGGCTTATAGGCAGTTATAGGATTATAGTTTTTTGTGATATTCATGTTATACAACATGCAAACAAACCTAATATCTCATTTTTGAAAAATTTTGTGATTACATTTCCTCACCAGTAGACTTGGGAAGTAAGAGCATATTCATCTATTCAAATATAATAATGTATGAATATATTTCTGTTTTATTCACTAAGAATATATTTTTAGGCTTATATGCTATTGTAAATAATGCTGGAGTGATGGTATTTGGAGAATTTGAGTGGCTTACTGAGAAACTGATCAAACAGCAACTTGATGTGAACCTTATGGGTACTTTTAGATTCACAAATGCACTGTGTCCATTGCTGAGAGAGCATAAAGGTGGGTAATTGAAAACATTTTATTACTTTGAAATCATGTTGTTGAATAGCGCTTATCAATTTTAGTCTAATATAGCAAAACATCAGATGTTCTGGAAAAGTTCAAATTATCAATCAATATTGCATATTGTATATTGTTATAATATTCACTGGCCTATAGTTAATCAACTAGGCTCAATGATATACCAAAATCATTCTTAATACAGTTAAAGGACACCCAGCACTCACCACTAATGTGGAAAGTGACAACCAGGGGCATGTACATACTATACATAGGGTGACCATATGTACTTTTTTTAGTAGGACAGTTGTTTTCTTTTCGCACTCTATACTACTGTCCTTTACAGGTTATCAAGTACACCTGAATGTACTTTTTTTAAATAAAAAGAAATTATGTCCTTTTTGTTCGAAGAAACAAAATAATTATAACTCTTTTTGTGTTTTTGATGTATTGCGTATTTGGATTTCAACCTACTGTGCCACCACTGATCGAAATTTAAGTAAACTAAAGCTTTATGGATCGGCTAACCTGAGAAGACAAGTTTCTTGAGCGGATATTTATCTTCGTGAAAAGCTTTTAAGGACTACATAGGTAGGGTATTAAATCAGGACGAACTGTTTGACGAAGAGTCTAATACAAACGAACGTTACATAAAACAAAATTGCTGACGGGAATTTAAGAAATATTTCTACTGAAGACCAATAGCTTGAAGTTTTCCAAATAGAAAATGCATTGAAAAATGTAAAAATTAAATGTGAGTTTGTTTTTTGTCTCCCTGGGACCAGTCCGTCAATTGAGAGGTTATTCTCAAATATTAATTACTGCTGGGGTTCTGAAAAATCGCACTTGAAGATATCTACTCTGGAAGACACTATGCAAGTCTACATAAACTTTAATATAATATAATACTTGCATTGAAATTTTCTAAATGGTAAATCACCAAATTTTAAAGGCAACTCATAGTTCCCAAAAGTACCACTGGTACCAAAATGAAGATAAAAAAATTGCTCTAAGTATCAGTGGTGATTTTCCTTAAAAGTGTACTTTTTTTGTTTAAAAATTATGGTCACCCTAACTATACATTACTTTGTACCCTGCTTTGAGCGCCATCTAAAGAAAGTGACTCTGACTAACTGCATTAAAAATGCAGTTGTAGTCACCGTTCTTGGAGGGTCAAACTAAGACTACCAGTATCCCATTATATATCACCATCTCCCTCATACATACACATGCAACCTACTCCTGTGTGTGAACGTTTGATCGGTAAGCTCTTATCATACGGTTTTTAGTTGCGAGTCTCCGTCTCGAAAACTTACAACTTACGTGACATCGGCGTACAATTCGAGTTGTCCTGTTATCAATCTTCAATATAAAATTGTACGTTGTACGGAAATACGATCAAGGCCGACAGTTCGTGCTAAATTTATTAGAGTATTTCCAGGAAGAGAATGAAAACAGCGATCCCCTGTTACCCACTTCATGCGTACTGGAGATTAGTCTGCGCAGTGTTGCGCCCGTGGTACGGAGACTCGATCTGTTTACTTATTTCATATGGCGTTGACAACGTAACCGCGAAGAACGGTGACTACAACTATATCACTGTTTGTAATTGCAAGAGCATTATTATCAATTATAAAATGTCAGAAGTGGCAAAAAATACGAGGAAGATAATATAACAGAAATGTCAATGTTTTGCAGCTGTCTCGTATGTGTAAAAGTGGAGAAACAGTACCAAGCAAGATTTGTGTAACTTCAAATCCACTAGCACTTTTTATGTGTTATCCTTTCTAAATTTGGGCAGAACTTTTTTGTCGCTTTCGAGATATTCGGAATCAGGGTTAATAAAACATTTCCCCTGTTTTAGAGATTCCAAAAAGACGACTAAAACTTGTTTAAAATTCAAGTTATTGGAAGCAATAAGAGTATGATGTGGTGGTGCATAGTACAATGTAATTGTAATAGAGGGCACGAGTGTGATTGAATATTATTTCGAGTAAAAAAAGATATGGCTTATGATGAGTTAGGCGCACTGCCCACTGTCGCGCCATATAAATGACGATAGGTGGTGTTTTACATATATGTTATGTCCACGTATCTTCATGCAATCACCAATCATGCTGCAAAATATTTCAATTGATATCGCAAAAGCACGTCCTTCCGTTGGGAAAATATCGAGTGATGATTACTATGTGACCACAGCAAACTACTTTATTAGAAGACGACGAATGAGGCGAAGAATGCATTGGCTCTGTCCATACATTGAAAGAAACATAAATCGTAGACGTTTGTTTCTGCCAGGGAGTTATCCTAAACGGATATTGTCCAATGATGTGAACAAAATTAGTTGCCGACTCCGCCATTTTGCAAAACAACTACATATTTGCATCTCACCAGTCGCTTGAGTAGTGATATGCTGCGGTACGAACCGCATGGCGACTAGCAGACGCAACGTCGCCGCTAATGGAGATTTATTTATCCAAAGGGCTATTCTCTAACTAGACAAAATTGCATTTTTGTTGCTGCATATTTTTGCTCATGATTGGATAAAAACACGCTTGAAATTTATATATCAAAATGAAGTTGTATTTTTCGCCGAGAAATCAGCACGTAGGATTTGATTTTTATTCTAGATACAAATAGAACATGCCCATGACTTCATGTCAATCTGAGAATAAAGGTTACTACTCTCACATTTAGCAGGAGTCTAACCTCTGTGGCAGAAGTAGTATGAAATTCTAAGGAAATGCTGTTGGATAACTTATTATATCAGAGTAGAACTTATTACATCACAACCTTGGCTAGAAAATTTTCGTTCAAACCTTGGAGGGCAAATTTCTCTACTTCTCGTTAATAGAAAATTTGAAAGCGCTCAGGATATACTTTCTAGAAACAAAATACTGGTATTTTGTCCTGAACAATAATTTACACTGCATCAGATTAATCTGTTATATAGCTATGCATTTAATTGGACATATTTGATATCCCCAGATAGTGAGAAAATCGTTGATATAAAGAACCTACTTTTTTCTCCTCTCAGGAAGAGTGATAACAGTAACTAGTCACTGCTCTGAAGCAACACTACCTGGATTGGCTGTTTATGGGGCCACAAAAGCAGCACTGACAGCATGGAGTGATGGTCTGCGAGTAGAAATGAGGAAATATGGAGTGCAAGTACTCACATTCATACCTGGATCGTTCACATTACAAAGCAACATCATGGGAAACCAACTGCAGAACGTACAAGATATGCACGACTCTTTTACACCAGAGCAACACAGTTTCTACAGTGATTATTTTAAAAGGTATTTTGTTGCTTCTGGTGCCTAACATACAGGCGCTTGACTATATACAGCATGATGCTGTACAGCAACACACCTACACAGCCAGAATATCATAGGGAGGGCAAAATGTCCAAAACCATAGATAGAAACCAGTATTAACTATTTAAATGTTCAAATTGACCCACTGTAACTCAGATACATTTCATTTGTTTTGTGATCTGAGGAAATATTTGTGATTATTTAGATGCCTAGACGGGCATGCCATCTCTTTCTAAAACAGCACTATACTGCAACATATAAAAAATATGGTATAAAGATATGGAAATAGGCATAATGCAATTGGCTGAATTTGCAGTATGTGGTATTTTATGATATCCTGATTAAAAGTATCCAGTGGCACAAGGTTTGACAATGCGCAGTTTTCAAAATATGAAGGTTTGAACAAAGATAAGGAATATAGATATCTGCTAGTATTATATCTGAGGGCATCATATAACGAAATGTATTTGCAAATTGGAACACATATTTACACACCATAATCCTTGTTCCTATTCAATATGCAACCACTCAGCATTTGCTTTTCTACTCATATAATACAACAAATTTTGGATGTATTCAATAAAATTCGACCCTCACCATTGGGATCTCGGAAACGGACTCATTTAGGTAACTAAGAAAATTGCACTTAGAAAGTTTCAGAATTTAGAGTATTTTTGGAGATAGATGAACAAACTGAATTTTCACAAAATTATTTTTATTTTTTTCTAACTTCATTTGAGGTGGGAAGTAAAATTGCATATTAATATTGCCACTTTTTCTCCTCTTCATCGTGACATGGTAAAAATTTCAATCGGACGTTTCGTTTCTTGTCCTCAATCAACTCTTTACTGAAACATTGGCTTCTAAGATTGCTTCAAAGGTATATATCTGTATTTCTAAACTTTGACCTTTGATAACTAAAAAACTAAAGCATACCTCAGATGTAATTTATAATCTTTTGCAGGTACAACATATATTTATCATACATTACCCCACCTCCCAAGCCAGTGAAGATAGAAGATCATGGCATGTATACGGTTTTTGAAAAAACACTAACTGACAAGTACCCAAGAGCTGTGTATAAGCATGAAAACTTAAGATACAAATTTTACCATACAATGTTCAGGATCAGCCCTGTGCCACTGCGGGATTGGTTAGTAGTGAAGTTCATGCAAATGCCAGAGTATATTCCAGAAGACAGGGGGGATCCAGATGAAGACTTTGCTAATATGCCCACCGATGATGTTGATACTGATGCATAATTTATAAGATTTTACTGTTGTTGTCTCAAATAGATTCAATTGGTGAAATAAGTTGTCTACTTATTCTAATCAGTTGCACAATGGTAACTGTCGAACTTGTCTGTGGACTATGTTGACACATGTTCTTGCAAAGAGTAAATGCAATCAACCACTTTAATTCCGAGACATCCCTATAACATATATATACCTACATAGGGGCGGATTCATGATAACGCACTGTGCGTCGGGCCCAGGGACTCAAGGGGACCCCAAAACGCAGTTCATTCAGAGGGGCCTCACACCAACTTTGAGCTTTGAGCCCCACAGATTCTAGGTCCGAGACCACAAGTATCGATTTCGTCAGTAAAGCACAGTGTCCTGAATGTCTATCAAATCCAAATAACTCTCCAACTACACTTTAAAAATATCTACATCCCCACATTCCTTAATAGTAAATTCCATGGGCTTTCATGAAAAACTTGATATTTTTCCTTAAAATAATATTTATAGGGTGACTTGTAATGTCACGTATTCCTGTTAAGAGATGATAGATTAGGTCAAAAGCAACCGATGTTGTCCTATCATGTCTTATCCAAAAGTTAACCATTTTTGAGTAATTTGAATTTTAAGTTTTTTATTTTTTATTCCGATTTCAGACAGTTAAAATTGAAATACCTACAAAAAAACTGCATGCTTGATTTTGAGTTTTTTGTTATCGTCGCATAGCAGACATTCCAATAGTTCATAATAAGTAATAAAATGTTGAAAAGCTACAAACGTTTTAAAATTACGCTTTTTAAATGTATCATTTTCGACGTGGTGAAAGGAGGAATCCACAGTTTTTTGTTGAAAGACATGTTCATCACACTGTTGGAGTTATGGTTTGTGGTGGTATAGCTTATGGTTCCAGGTCACCTTTAATCTTCATCAGAGGTAACATGAGCGCGCAGCGTTATATCCACGAAGTTCTAGAACCCCATCTTTTACCCTATCTTGACACCCTGGCAGATCCAACTTTCCAACAAGATAATGCCCGACCACATGTTGCAAGAGTCACAATAGACTTCTTTCAACATAATGATGTCACATTGTTACCATGGCCACCAAGATCTCCCGACTTATCCCCAATTGAGCACGTGTGGGATATGATGGGTAGGAGATTGCTCAATTTGCAACGTCCTCCTCAGACTCTAGAAGCACTTCGAGAGGAGTTGGTGGTTGTCTGGAATGAGATACCACAGGAGGACATTGACCACCTGATCAGAAGCATGCCTAGGCGCGTTGGAGAATGCGTAGCACATCAGGGTGCATCCACACATTATTAAAGGTCAAAGGGCTTTAAAGCAGTGCAATCATTTTGAAATTTTTATCATTTACTTATTATGCTTCATTAAGTACTTATACAAAATTTTATTAAAATAAAACCATTTAAACTGGGTGTTCGGATTTATATGTCACTTAGTATACAAGGATAATCAGTGCAGCTGACCAAATAAAAAGCTGTTTAACAACTAGAGTTACCAAAAGTGAATTACGTAAGAGCATACGGGCGTGTATTCGTAACAAGGGTTTACAATTTGAGCAGAATCTGTAAAATACTAAAGGAAATGTAATTAAATAAAACTGTAATTAAAATAAAAGCCTTCTATTTATCCTACGTAATTATGGTTCGTACAATTTTACTCATCATTATAATTTTATGTCTTTGTACTTGAGTTAGTTGTAACTTTTATACCTCAAATGAAAACTTGTTAGAGATATTATTTACATAATTTGCACATTTCATTACTAGGAGATTTTTTACAGAAAATTGCATTTTTTATCGAATAAGTTAGTAAAAAAATAAGAAAATCATACATTTCAAAAGCGTAATTTTAAAACTTTTTAAGTTTTCAACATTTTATTACTTATAATGAACTATTGGAATGTCCGCTATGCGACAATAACAAAAAACTCAAAATCAAACATGTATTTTTTTGTATTTCAAATTTAACCGTCTGAAATCGGAATAAAAAATAAAATTCAAATAACTCAAAAACGGTCAACTTCTGGATAGGACATTATAGGACAAAATCGGTAGCTTTTGACCTAATCTATCACCCCTTAACAGGAATACGTGACATTACAAGTCACCCTGTATAAATTAATCTAATGAGATTTAAAATACACATAAAATATGAGGAGAAAGAAAGATTAACAACAAATTCAAGACACATTAAAACACATTACTAAAATCGTTGTACATAAAATCGGATATATTATGAAAGGCTTTCCTATCCCTTGAGTGCCTTCTTAAAATATTAAGTGATTTCATTGACTCTGGTAAAACGTTGAAACACAATTCCATAGTAGTTAAGTTCATGTCTGGTTCTCTGCACCCTACTAGATTTTGACCAAACTTGATTTAGTAGCTATGAAAGTCCAAGTTTCTACTGGATTTGCATGCATTAAGGTCAAAATACCATGTTGATAAATAATGCATCAACACAGGAATTCCAGGCCGGTCCTGCTATCACCTTCACGCTTTTTATTTGTATTGCGAAAACTCTAGAAGCATGCGAGGAGTGTTCCCATAAACCATATGGAAGTGAAAGTAGCTGCAATAAGCTTGCAGTATTACATCCTGAGACACGCAATTAACTAGGTTGTAAAGGACAAAGAAACTTACACTAAGTTTCGTGATCGGGTTATTGACGTGCTCTTCCCAGTTCAAGCGACCGGCCAGATGAAAGCCAAGAGATTTTGCATAGATATTGTTACCATGATATCCCAATGAGAAATCCATTGTTTGTGTTTTGCCTTTGTTTGAGGCTAGTCGTATTTGCATAGAACCAGTCTTCAATGTATTCAATGCAGTTTTTTGGCTAAGGTTTTCAAGTTTGCCTCCACTGCAGATAGACGTAGTGTCATCAGCCTAAAGAACTATAGTCAACGCCAAACAAAGTGGCGTGCACGTCATCAAGGTGGGTGTGTTGAAAAATTTACATTGTTGCCAAACTTTTTGTAAAATAATAAAATTTATTATTTACATATCTAGGTTTATAAGCAATATTAACCTCAAATGAGAACAAAAATAATAGTATAATAAAATTATAGATCTGTACTTGCATAATCATTAAGTATGACAATTATTGATCAGATGACACTATGAAACTACCATATTTAACTGATAGCTTAAAGGTACTGAATAAAAATCCAAATGGGGTCCTCCAAATTTTATGCATGGTATTTATTTTACAGAATTCATACAGAAAAATGCATTCTAAAATTAGGTAAGCTACTGGTGTAAGCTTTTTCTGTACAATAAAGTTAGTCGGAGTTTCTTTCTTCAGCGCTGTCTGAATCTGAATCTTCATCACTCTCAAAGTTGATTATTAAAGGTTCGATGTCTGGTCGATCAAAAATTCGTTCTCTTTCATACCATTTAAAAATGTCTTGCTCAGTATGTCGAACACTATTTTTCCACATGTCTGGGGTAACCGTTTGTAGAGCCTCGTTCCACATATCCAAACAGTCTTTTTCACTGTTACCATCTCTACCAATATGTCTGTTATAGTAACCTTTTGCTATGCCCCAAATTAACTCAATAGGGTTAAATATACAATGGTAAGGAGGCGACGAAGAACTTTGTGCCCATGTTGTTCCGCCAATTCATCAATCACGTATATTTTAGGTGGTTTGTTTCTAAAAAAGCAGTTATTTTAAGAATAGGAATAAACAAAAGAAATATAAACTGTCGACCAAAATATATATGTATATAATTAAGAAGCATTATGTACCGAGCAACAATACTCAATAGCTCTGTTTTAAACATTGTGTTTAAAAATGGTATGTTTTGATTTGTCAACCAGTCTTGGATATTTTTTTTTGTCCATGCATTGTTGGGCACTTTGTTCAATATCATGCTGTGATAAGGGGCGTTATCCAGTATAATCATAGATGGACTCTCCAATTTTTCTAATAACTGATGTTGAAACCATTTCAAAAAATTGTCCTGGTTCATCTCTCCATGGTAATCGCTCAATTTTGTTTTCGAAGAAAATATCGCTTCACTACCCTCAATAAATCCATTTTCATTTCCAGCATGTAATATAATGTATCTAAAATATATTAGTTTTAAATTTTATAGTGCAAATTGTGTAAAAGTACATACCTTTTACCATCTGTTTTAATAGCTTTCACGCTTTTTTGGTTTCCATTTTGCCAAGAGCGACCTATGGTCCCATTTTGAAATATCCAAGTTTCATCGAGGAAGACAAACTGGTATAAGGCCTCAACCTTGGCTTGATTGTATGGCCTTAGAAATTCCACCCTTTTCAAAGCTATACTTGGTAGTTCCATGAGCCCTCGTCGCGGATTGTCCTTAAGCCACTTAAATCCAAGATCTCTAAGCAACCGCCTTAAAGACGTGGCACTACCATCAAATAATGCCCTATCTCTTAATCGAGACCATAAAGTTTGTATCGTAACTTGTTCTTCTGAAACCATGTGTAATATGACATTATAATTTAGTTAACAAATTAATGCAAATTTCTGATAAGTTATTATAATAAGATCTTACTTTTGTGATACATATTATAGATCACTTCTCGAATGGCACTTGTATCCAATGTCGCTGTGTTGGTTACACGTTTAATATAACTCCGCTTTTTCTTGGGCGGTTCTAAATTTGCATCACTTTTCACACCCTCGGAAATACGACTAACTGTCCTTAAACTAATTTTTAAAGCAGCAGCAACACGCTACAAAAAATGAAATAAAATTTCACTATTATTAATATACATTACATATAATTATTAGTAACCTACCTCTTGAACAGCATTTAAAGGCAACAAAGGCCCGTTGTTGTCCCTTTCTTGCTCAAAGTAGTGCATTAACGAGGCCACGAGTTCCTTACACCGACTATTTAACTGTTTTAACAGTTGTTGATTTACAGTATGCGGGGCCAAAGGATTTATAAAGATTTAAAATGCCACAAATTGATCCAGTGTCAAAATTAATACAAATGTCAGTTCCCAGTTTAAATAAGTTTCAAGGTGACAATGTGTCAACGCTGCGAAATCGGTTTAGTGCGTTTACATGTCGATAAGTGATTGGAGCGTTTGCAAAACATTTTATTTCGCATAATGCGTCTAAATTTATCAGAAAGCAACTTATGTGATATTTTAATAACAATGTTTATATGACTATTAACCATAATAAGAGAGTAATGACCATTTTACAATTTATATATCACATTAATATGAAACTGCAATAGAGCAATTGTTTGTGATAGAAACCTAGGCATTAGGTCGGGGAATTTTTATCGTGATGACGTGCACGCCACTTTGTTTGGCGTTGACTATAGACGTTGAGTGTTGTATTTGAAGATGTCATTAACAAAAATTATGAACAATGTGGGACCCAGAATGGAACCCTGAGGTACCGACAACCTAACCGTCTGAATGTTTGACTTCTCTTTGCCCAATGCTACATACTGTGACCTGTCATTAAGGTATGAGGATATAAGTTGAAGACTGTTATTAACCATATCTGAATGTCATATGACGTTAATTCATTTTATATGATAAACTAAGTAAACCCTATTTCACGAGTATCCGTAACGCTTTGAGGTCTACTGGGTTGAACAGCTGATCAGCAAGTGAAATTTTTGTGTTAGTCTGCGACGTTTGCAATAATGAATCGGGTGTAAATCTAGTAAAACGTATTTGTAGCGTTTTGTTTTTTGTATGCAAATGAAGTGTTCTAAATAAAAGAGCTGTTATCAACTACAACATGTATCTCTCCGTCAGAATTATGTGTTCAGTGCCATGGGGAATTTTGAGATATTACTAAATAATCAGCTGTCATGCTACCGTGATGGATACCCGTGAAATAGGGTATACATAACGGATCGCTTGAATCCGAAGAAGCAATATATTGAAGCGTTACTGCAGAATTTTTGCCTGATCCTCTTTAATATTTTTGATATATGGCTATGAAGCTGAAAATCTATTTTTTTTATCGTACAAAGAGCTGGATGATAAGAAGCCCCATTTTCTGGCTAAACAGGTATATTATGTCTGGAGAGAAAAATGTTACCTCCAACTGTTGCTTGTTGGACTATTTCTACATTGATATAAAATGTCCCCATCAAAAACGACATTTTAAGGGGGTGAATTTTCATATTATTAATCTGTATTTTGTCATTGAGCAAAGATATCCAAACTGTGTTTGATTTTCCACGTAAGGGAATTATAGTCAACGCCAAACAAAGTGGCGTGCACGTCATCACGATAAAAATTCCCCGACCTAATGCCTAGGTTTCTATCACAAACAATTGCTCTATTGCAGTTTCATATTAATGTGATATATAAATTGTAAAATGGTCATTACTCTCTTATTATGGTTAATAGTCATATAAACATTGTTATTAAAATATCACATAAGTTGCTTTCTGATAAATTTAGACGCATTATGCGAAATAAAATGTTTTGCAAACGCTCCAATCACTTATCGACATGTAAACGCACTAAACCGATTTCGCAGCGTTGACACATTGTCACCTTGAAACTTATTTAAACTGGGAACTGACATTTGTATTAATTTTGACACTGAATCAATTTGTGGCATTTCAAATCTTTATAAATCCTTTGGCCCCGCATACTGTAAATCAACAACTGTTTGTTTCAAAACAAAATTATTCATTTTACGAGTAGATAAAGGCAATTTTGGTATATAAAGATGCCCAAACAGTTAAATAGTCGGTGTAAGGAACTCGTGGCCTCGTTAATGCACTACTTTGAGCAAGAAAGGGACAACAACGGGCCTTTGTTGCCTTTAAATGCTGTTCAAGAGGTAGGTTACTAATAACTATATGTAATGTATATTAATAATAGTGAAATTTTATTTCATTTTTTGTAGCGTGTTGCTGCTGCTTTAAAAATTAGTTTAAGGACAGTTAGTCGTATTTCCGAGGGTGTGAAAAGTGATGCAAATTTAGAATCGCCCAAGAAAAAGCGGAGTTATATTAAACGTGTAACCAACACAGCGACATTGGATACAAGTGCCATTCGAGAAGTGATCTATAATATGTATCACAAAAGTAAGATCTTATTATAATAACTTATCAGAAATTTGCATTAATTTGTTAACTAAATTATAATGTCATATTACACATGGTTTGATACAAACTTTATGGTCTCGATTAAGAGATAGGGCATTATTTGATGGTAGTACCACGTCTTTAAGGCGGTTGCTTAGAGATCTTGGATTTAAGTGGCTTAAGGACAATCCGCGACGAGGGCTCATGGAACTACCAAGTATAGCTTTGAAAAGGGTGGAATTTCTAAGGCAATACAATCAAGCCAAGGTTGAGGCCTTATACCAGTTTGTCTTCCTCGATGAAACTTGGATATTTCAAAATGGGACCATAGGTCGCTCTTGGCAAAATGGAAACCAAAAAAGCGTGAAAGCTATTAAAACAGATGGTAAAAGGTATGTACTTTTACACAATTTGCACTATAAAATTTAAAACTAATATATTTTAGATACATTATATTACATGCTGGAAATGAAAATGGGTTTATTGAGGGTAGTGAAGCGATATTTTCTTCGAAAACAAAATTGAGCGATTACCATGGAGAGATGAACCAGGACAATTTTTTGGAATGCTTTCAACATCAGTTATTAGAAAAATTGGAGAGTCCATCTATGATTATACTGGATAACGCCCCTTATCACAGCATGATATTGAACAAAGTGCTCAACAATGCATGGACAAAAAAAATATCCAAGACTGGTTGACAAATCAAAACATACCATTTTTAAACACAATGTTTAAAACAGAGCTATTGAGTATTGTTGCTCGGTACATAATGCTTCTTAATTATATATATTTTGGTCGACAGTTTATATTTCTTTTGTTTATTCCTATTCTTAAAATAACTGCTTTTTTAGAAACAAACCACCTAAAATATACGTGATTGATGAATTGGCGGAACAACATGGGCACAAAGTTCTTCGTCTGCCTCCTTACCATTGTATATTTAACCCTATTGAGTTAATTTGGGGCATAGCAAAAGGTTACTATAACAGACATATTGGTAGAGATGGTAACAGTGAAAAAGACTGTTTGGATATGTGGAACGAGGCTCTACAAACGGTTACCCCAGACATGTGGAAAAATAGTGTTCGACATACTGAGCAAGAAATTTTTAAATGGTATGAAAGAGAACGAATTTTTGATCGACCAGACATCGAACCTTTAATAATCAACTTTGAGAGTGATGAAGATTCAGATTCAGACAGCGCTGAAGAAAGAAACTCCGACTAACTTTATTGTACAGAAAAAGCTTACACCAGTAGCTTACCTAATTTTAGAATGCATTTTTCTGTATGAATTCTGTAAAATAAATACCATGCATAAAATTTGGAGGACCCCATTTGGATTTTTATTCAGTACCTTTAAGCTATCAATTAAATATGGTAGTTTCATAGTGTCATCTGATCAATAATTGTCATACTTAATGATTATGCAAGTACAGATCTATAATTTTATTATACTATTATTTTTGTTCTCATTTGTGGTTAATATTGCTTATAAACCTAGATATGTAAATAATAAATTTTATTATTTTACAAAAAGTTTGGCAACAATGTAAATTTTTCAACACACCCACCTTGATGACGTGCACGCCACTTTGTTTGGCGTTGACTATATATAGAAATCTTTTATAAGGAAACTTAGAGCCATATCGTCAGTCGTTCCTACAATTTTATTGTAGGACGCCTTTTATAGCCTCCTTGATTTTCATAGCTTTCTATTTTTCCATGTCAGTGTATTCTAGTTCGAGGTTATGTCACAAATATCTATTTGCATCAAATTGTTCATGCTTTTGATTTATATAATGTTTTATCAGCCTGAAATTTCTCACAATTCAAAAAGAAAACTTTCACAATGGGAGAGCGCTGACGCTGACAAGGAGCAGTTGCAATCTGGCCATTTTTGGAGGAGTGAAAAGACGACAATCAAGGAGGCCATAAAGGCATCCTTCGATAGTTGAATGACTGACGATGCGGGATGCGGCCCTTAATGCTGGCTACACACGATCCGGCAGGCCTGTCAGTTCGAACCGAACAGTCCGCCTGAAGACCGGTCGCCTGAGCGTGTATATATTCCGGTCGACTTGTCAGTTAAGACTGTTCAGGCGGCCGGAGAAAAATCAAAAATATGTTCGTTTATCCGTCCGGCCTGACGTACAAAACGACAAGCCTGAACGTGTGTATGGCGTGGCCGCCTGTTGGGACATCCGGCTGTCAGGTCAAACAGTTCAGTCTGAGTTCAGTTTAGTACAGAACCAGAGTATAGAAGTCGTTACCATGTCGCGGGAAAGAGAAAACACGTGTTTAGAAGAATTTATCGCAATGAGTTGTGTCTATGGCAGGTAAAATCGAAAGACTATCACGACCGTGGCAAGAAAGAAGCGGCGTATTGAAAATTGATAAGAAATTGAAGGAAATTGATCCTTCTTGTACTACTACTGTGTCTACTGTTTTAAAAAAAATTAATAATTTGAGGAGTAGTTTTCGAAAGGAAGCAAAAAAAGTGAAGGATTCAATGAGGACGGGATCAGGGGCCGATGAAGTTTACCATCCCAAACTTTGGTATTATGATTTGTTGAAGTTTGTGGAAGACCAAGAAGTCTCTCGAAACTCTCGAAGCAATATCTCGGATGACGAAGACAGCGAAAATGAGGTAAGTGACAGAAACATTCAGTAGATAGTTTGTTTGTTTATTTATTTAATAAACACACATTTTTCATAATGTAAATAAGTACCTATTTGTAGGTAATTTGTGTATTTTTAGGGTGGTCCAAATTGGTCAAAAAAAGTCATTGGTGCAAACAAAATTTTTCAATTTGTAATCGTTTTGTTGCCAGGGGACGTTCCTAAAATTTAGTCGATTTCTTTCAATAAGGGGTGTTCCCATAAGAGAGCGACCAATTTGGACCACCCTATACAATAGTATCATTAGTAGGTAAGTTTTTATTGGATGAATCTATCTTGCCAATAAACTTTACCTTCATTCGTAAAATAACTCATAAAGGCTTAATATAACTTCTTAACTTAACATAACTTCTTTTGCTGCATTCGCTGTATTTCCAAATGGTCTTCGTTGCAAGCTAGACATATTAGAACCTCGTGAATTTAATCCAAAATGTGACACACCTTCTTCCGTATCATCATAGTCAAAGCACTCTGGAGGAGTATATGTTCTTGATGACTTAGCTATCAAAAAGTTATGTAACATGCAGCAAGCCATTACAACGATTTCAATATTTCGCGGTTCCAAATTAATGCAAGTGTGGAATATCCGAAATCTGGCAGCCAATATTCCGAATACATTTTCGACAATACGTCTTGCTCGTGATAAACGGTAGTTGTAAATTTTTGTCTCCCTAGAAGTCAAGGCTGCCTGTCGAAAAGGTTTCATTAGGTCTACCCTCAATGGAAATGCATCATCTCCTATAAATACATATGGTAGGCTTCTGTAAGTATTCCGTATGGTTTCTTCTCCAGGAAGTTTCAGGAGATTATTTTGTAGTTTTTCAAAAAATTTGGTATTTTGTAATACACCACCATCAGACACCCTGCCATTTGTTCCGAAATCGCACATTAAAATACGATAGTTTGCATCAACTAAGGCTAATAGCACCATGCTATTAAAACCTTTATAATTATAATAGTACGATCCGCTTCGAGATGGGGGGACGATGCTCACATGCTTGCCGTCAATGGCCCCAAGGCAATGAGGAAAATTCCAGAGTTCGACAAAGCTCTGAGAAATGTTTCTCCAGTCTTGTTCTAGTCGTGGAAACTGAAAAAAAAAAGATAATCTGATGCATTATGCATGATAAAAATATGCATTAAAAATGTCTGGCGATATATGACAAAAGAAATAAATTGTGTATTTTTTTATTTTTTTCATGTTTTGAATTTGTGAAATACGATTAAATAATACAGTGATAGAAACCATAGATATTTTCACACAAAAGAAACTAACAAAACTGTTCAAGCAAATCTTTTGTTACAGGATGAATCACAGGCCGAAACTTTAAACACAGATGCACACAGCCCTCAAACTGAACCTGAAACCCAAGATTCTACTGAAAAAACTTCAAGTGTGGCTTCAGGTTCGCAGTTTCGCCATAGACCGACACCAAAATCTCAAAAACCAGATGACCAAACACAGTTAACAAAAGAATTACTAGCAACCGTCAATAACCACTTCAAACGGCCACGCACAGCAGATGACCGGTTTGACATTGTTGGTAAAAACGTTGCTATGAAGCTCAGAGATTTAACCAACGATCAGAGACGCCTTGCAGAGAAATTTATTAATGACGTACTTTTTGAAGCTGAGGGAGGAACATTAACACCACATCATAAACTGACTTATCAGCCACCTTTGTCTAATCGTTATCATTCATCCAGTACCTATTCTAGCCTGCCAAGCTTTCAACTCTCCGCAACACCAACACCACCGCAGCAGTTGCTACTACTGAACTCCCCTACGTCAAATGAATATTATTCGAATCATTTATCTAGTTCCAATCCTAGCCGCCCAAGTTCTCAATCATCCGCAATATCATCACCATCGCAGCAGTTGCTACTCCAGAACTCCGAAGCTTCAATTGAACACCACTCCCAGAATAACATGTTTTTTCCCCAGACAGAAAGTGTTCAAGAAAGGGAACCGTCGGCATCACCTCGCCAGTACCAGACTGCTGGTTCTCTTTTAGCTTCATTCACTTATGCTGATAACAACTGATAACTGAACTTGTGTTTGTATCTTTTATGGAAGAAATATAATGTTTTTGTTTATATGTTTAATATTTTTTTATCTGTATTTTAATATTCAAAAAGATATTTTCTTATCTTCATAAAATCCTTGCGTAGAACTTCCCATATTGCTTCACAAGTTTCAGGAATAATGTAACTCAGAGCTTGAGGTGATATAATAGTGGAAAACTTGAGGTCCTCATAGGTTCTTCCTGTAGCTAGAAACCTTAAAGTTGCCGTCAGCCTTTCGTGTGCTGGGATTGCTTCTCTCATTACAGTGTCTTTTCTTTCTATCAAAGGTGCTACCAATGATAAAAGTTGCAGATACGTATCTTCATCCATACGTAGATAATTGTGCCAATCTTTGGGAGCTAACTTCAGGTCATTCAGCAAATTCACATAAGAAAAAACGCTCCTTTTTTTCATCCAATCTTTACACCATACCGTACGTTTTTTTTTTGGATTTCTTTTTACCCAAAGCAACTACTAAGCCGAGAAGTGCTAACGCGTCGTCGTCAGTAGAGGCCATAATATGATGATTGAGACTGATATTTCATATTCGCCTGAACGTGTAGAGGGTGGTCAGTCCATCGGGCGGCCGGTCTTCAGGCGGACTGTTCAGTTCGAACTGACAGGCCTGCCGGATCGTGTGTAGCCAGCAAATAGTTGATGCATATCCATGAAGGCCTAAAGATACAGATGCATGTCTGCACTATTATACAATATAATCATTATGAAATAAGACAGCACAAAGTGCCATCTGTTATCAGAATCAGCCACTGTGATAATTATTGTACAATTATGTATTACTATGTTAACATGTAGTAATTTAATGTAAAGTACTATTGGCATACTGTTTATTATATTTTTAAATATTGACACAACTAATAATATTGTAGAGATATGTCTAAACTGAGTAGTCCTTCCTGTATTACATAAATTAGTATCACAGAAGCACATCATCTTAGGTTCTATTTTTGACATCATACATCCACTTTTGATGAGATTTCCTGCTTTGTCTTTATTGTCGTAACATCCTCTCCAAGTTCTTACTATATCATCATATACGGTTTCCACCATCAGAAAGCAGTAACTATTCACATAGGGGGGGCACTGGTAAGTCATATTATATTTTTGTTCCGGTCTTGCTAGTTTAAAATAATCGATATCGCAGAGCGGTGGATATTCGTCGCTGGATGAATTGCACTGATAACAAACTAGGCCTTTAGCGTTATCTAATGCTATCGTAAAGTTATCTTTTCCATAAACTGATGTAATGAATAAATAAAAAATAAAATGCTTCATTCCCTCATCCTTTCAACATTTGAAATTTCTAATGCCATGACAGGCGTACGGCAGATGCTTGACATATGTCACACATATCCGGAGTAGTTCAAATGCTATGAGGTCACAGATTAAGCAGGTCCCACACGATGAAGTGAATGCCTCACAACGTTGGACATACACCTTAGGAAAAACCATTGTTATACATGGGAAATCATTTCTTGGCAACAGCGCATCGGCTCGTCTACTTTCATCGCTATTCGTACATATTTCCTACCGTTAACCGCAGACCTGTATCACGAATGAGAATAATAGGCAGATACGCTGTGTTGCCAATTTGAGTAGAGCTTCCCGAATTGTGGGGAATTTAGAGTTAAGTGTTGATTCATTCAAGCTTTTAATCAGCATGGCCTAGACGTTAGAACTTCATAAAGATAACATTGAAGCTGAATGCTGCTGGAGTATATTGTTTCGAATATTCAAAGCGTAGCGGGACACTATACTCGTTCAATGGGTCATCAAGCCACAGTCTTTTCAACAAAGAAATTATTTTACGAAAATGCGTTATATTTTTACGATTTTGTCGTCACCAAATCTCTGTTTCTCAAAATGTACGTCTATTGTAGAATTTTCAGCAAACTAAGCAAGAAACGTGATCTAGTATTTACTCAACATTACGGATATCTCGAAATACATTAAAAAATGTGACCTAGATACCTAACTGCCCCAAGCTCTTTAAATATAACACCTTAAACCAGGGTTACCAGGTGCTCAGTCACGTTGATTGTCATGTTGTACTGCGCAAGTCAGCAAACAATCTGGCGTAATAAACGTTAGGAATCATCAGGTATTGCCAGATTCCCGAATACCGGGCACCATAGTAACCGTTATAGTTTTTCTTCAAAGTTGTCAAATCGCCCCTATGGCGCAAATTCGCCACACCAGGCAACTGTGCTATAAACAAACCCTGTTTATCACTACTATTTGATAGTCATATGGTAGTTGTAGCCCTATCTAGCGGTCCATGATTTCTCTCAATACTGTTGTATCTCTACTGGCAACAAGAATAGGGATTACAAAATCATTTATACAACAATATACAAACATGAAAAATATGATTTGAACCATGAAACATTAATACAATTTTAATAGTTTGAACTTTTTTCATTTTTGGAATACTCTTATGTGGAATCCGCAGCTATTTTTCCCGAAATTTGGGTAGACTTAGATTTCTTAGAAATATGACATATTGGTATCGGCAACTCTCCGAATGGGAGAAACAAATCGCATTTGTTGAGCGCATCCGTCTAAGCGGTAGGCGCCAGCGCCCGTTCTGCCATCTCTCTCTTTTATCACTCTTCTACTTTACCCCGTTGTCCGTCACACTCCGACGCTGCCAGATACGATCCTACAATCGAGTGTCTTTCACGCACCTACATACTTTTGTATATTTCCATCTCTCTTCCTCATCATAATGTATAATAATGATTTTTCCCAAGGTGTATGGCCATTAGCCGCATCGTGTGGGAGAGCGCTGACGGATCGCATGTGTCCAACGTTCGCCACATGGCACGTTCGGGCTCTTGTCGGTAAATTTGATCCGCGTCAAAGGACGTTACAACGTTGGAAGCATGGTCCTTTAAGCCGCATACAGACATCGCGAATGGTTCATCTCGTATGCCTCAACCTGAGACACATGCTCAAACTGAGCACGCAAAAGACCACGCACGGTATTTGTCAGTAAGAAAAATGGCTCTGACAAGACGAGAGGTGCAGATTGTTGTGATATTTGACGCCACGCGTCTTCCCTTTTACATTTATTGTAATAATCAGAATGTTTAGAGTCCCATAACCCTCTGTTACTTTCATAAAGATGGACAAGTTCACGCAGTGATTCAGTATCGGTTTCCATGACGCATGAGCGCGCAACGCAAATAACATCCGTCCGTCCACACGGAGTGCAAGGCTCGCACTGAGGCGGCGTTCGCAACGATCGTATGACGCGAATGCTCACTGTGAACATACACGTCCACACAGCCCGAGGCATGCGAGATGAACCATTCGGACCGCACGCCTCGCGATGTCTGTATGCGCCTTTACGCTCCCACATGAGATGTCATGTGTTTGATGGTTTTAGCTTAGAACCAGTAGCGGCAAAAAACATTATTTACTTGTTTGCTTTGATTGTGAAGTAGTGGTATGTGGGAAGCATTTTGATTTGAATACCTACCTAGTCATAATAATGTATGTTCCGTAACACGTAACGTTTCATTGTTCATTTTGTATAATTTTTCCTTCAGTTTTAAAGGTCCAAGCGCGACACTGACACCGATAATAGACGTTGGCGCCACCATGCCTCGAACGTCCGAGACTAGAAAGTTCTTCCCATCGTGTAGGAGACACACTTGCCAATTGTGAGGTGTCGAACGTTGTAAACGTTGGAAGCATCATGTGGGACCCGCATTACACGAGGTAGGAATGGAGTGAATTTAGCATTTCTCATTTACAGGAGTGTGTTCATACAAATTAGAGAGCATATCACTCTCAAACAAAAAACCGCTGGAAAAGTGTAGTGGAAAGTACAAACGTTTGCTTGATTATGGTTGTTGTGATTGTCCGTAGGTGGTAGACGGTCTCTGACTGTCGAACGTGGAGGTACCACCCGGCGGATCTCTAAGCTGGGGCCAGAATGTGTGCATGTTGCATGCACATGTGTTCACTCGGTATAGTCTATGTGACGTGCCCCTTTCCCCTGTATCCCACTATGGCACCACGGTACCCATGAGTGTTTAGGCCTTAAGCCTTCGTGGTGGTTCAAATAAAAACGGGTTACGCCCAAATATAAACACACACGTTTTATTGCATTCTAATCCCAAAATGCAGTGATGAGTTTCAACAAAACGACATTACTTGGTTTGTTCGTACAGTAGTCGGTAACTTGTCGGTGACTGTCAAAATCAGAATCAGAGAGATGTTACCTGTTCGTACAGTTTCTGGCTATTTGCCGACCGCTATTCCGCTGTACGTACAGATACTTCTGACAGATCAGAAGACACCAGTCAACCAGTAACAGTGATACATATCAGATTGTGTCGAAATTATCTCGAGGACTAAAATTGCTTCGCAAAAGGCATTTAATGATTGATTACTCTTCTCAGAGCTCTCTTTCATACTGTCGCCGCTCGATGTGCCTGCCTGACTTCGGCCTCCCATCGTAACCGTGTCAAACTTCGTACATCCAGAACTGGCCGATAAGACCGCTCCTTAGTCCCGAGATCGTGTAACAATCTACATTAGGAGCTTTTCCTAGTTCTACTAACTTTAGGTAGTCCAAAAATAGGAATAACAAAGTTTCTTTAAGCTCCTCAAAGCAGCTGCAGTGCCCTGGCATGTAGGCTTCACCTGCTCAGCTGCTTCGGTGTAAAAAAACTGAACGCTGAATCAAAAAGATCAAGATCTACTGGAGGAAAGAATGAAACCCAAAAACCTGAATTTTGTGGAAAACAGTGCCTCAATTCAACAGGAACAAGTTTTTGTAACATTTTCGGGTGAGCAAAAGTGGCAGAAGAAATTCCAATGAAATTCCATTTTAAATAGCAGGCAGCGCCAAAGTGCTTTGTGCTCAATATTTTGTTTATTGACCCGGTAATGGCAAAATGAAGATTATGACTACAGTATGAAAAATCCGAACAATAGAGGACATAACTTTCAAGAACCATAATTAATACGATTTTTGTGATCACTAATCTTTTCAATTTTTTTGGTACAG